CCCCCAAGCAAAATATTTAACATATTGAGTGATCCCAATAGTATCCTGTCAACACGACATAGAGCTATCGTGATCAGGAAAGTGTTGGTTCGCGGTCATAGTGACCAGGAAGTTAACTGGGGGTTCAAACCTGGTATATACAATAGCGGAGAGAGATAAGGGCCTGACAAAAGCTTTATTTCATAAATTTCATAAATAAAGCTTTACAGAGGCTTTTGTTGGACTTGATCCAGTACCCCCAGTGTATATACTACTCATTGTACATATCATATTATTGTCGTTGTTTAAAATATTGGTGTAAAATAATTAATATGCCTGAACATCGTTTACCTAAAAAAGCTTTCAATATGCTTTTACATCTTGATTATCTTGGAAAGAATAACTGGACATCTCATATTCGCACCTTACTATTTAGATATGGTTTTGGTTGTATTTGGTTATCACAGACAGTTGGCAATGCAAATATGTTTATTAAACAGTTTCGTATGCGGGCTATTGATATGTTTAAGCAGGAATGGCATTCAACTATTAATGAAAGTTCTAGATATGATTCATATCGTCAATTTAAGTCGTTGCTTGAGCCAGAGTGTTATCTTGCTCACCTTCAATACAGAAATATTCGCAATGCTTTTATACGGTTTAGATTAGGCCTTAATGATTTATTAATTAACCGTGGAAGATATGTTTCTATGGATAAAACCCAAAGATTATGTCCATTCTGTTACATTATTGAAGACGAATTCCATTTTATGTTTATTTGTCCTGTATATGAAAATCTAAGAAATAAGTATCTACCGCAACTGTCTTTATCTCAAATCAACGTTAATCTATTGTCTTCCTTACTTTCCTGCAAAGAACCTCCAAAACAACACAAAGTTGCTCTATTTATCTACAATGCATTTTTGTTAAGAAAAGAATTGATTAGTTAGAAAGTTGATATATATGCCATTGTCAAGATGTATCTCTTTTGTATATGGGCCTATGGCCTTTCATACAATAAAGAATTGAACTGAATTGAATTATTATGGTATGGTCCCTATCTAGGACAGAGCTTGTCTCTGATTATGGCGCATGACTATAAGGCAAACTTGTTTAGTTGAAAATCGTGCAATGCGGTCCTATTGGGTCCTTATATGGCTGTATGATATGGAATGGGTCCCAACTTTCTTACGTCAATGGGGAAAAAGTGTTAGATTTTATACACGTTTTTGTAATACATGTCAGGATCGAATCGCTCAAAAAAGACTTTTGAGGAGTTATCGCTGGGCAACCATACGAAAACGAAGTTTAAACATTGGTATTCCTAAGATATTTACAGATCACAATGACATCTTTGAACGTTTCATACCATATTTGTAATCTCAGTTGTGAAACGGTTAGTTTTTGATGATTATAAAAGTGAATGGAACAGTGCCGTTACACGAGTAAGTGAGGGGAGGTAACAATCTGGGACTATAGTGACACGTGAAACAAGAGACTTTAACCCAGAAATGTATGCTTGCTATAGGTTCAACAACAAAACGTGGATGACATCGGACATGTTTTGTGATTGGCTGAGATCTTTTGACAGAAGTGTTCGGATTAACGCGGCCTGACTGTATATGTGTTACCCGCGTTCTGACCGAAGCCCACAGAAACTCCCTGGCCAATCTTGAAAGTGGTTCTGCTCATACATACTTTGAAACATGGCGCTATACATATACTCAGCAGCAAAATCAACGTCAGTGCGAATTCAAAATTAGATAGGCACTGTAATCAAAGCATTACAGAAATTGACATAATAAGCAGATAAATACCATTTTTTGTGTACAATATATTGACACATCAATGAATAACTCCACCAATCGATTGATGAATGCCATTGGCACCTGGAACCACACTCTGAGAAAGGCCTGGCGAAATAAATCGGCTGTGTTCGACCTTGGTATGACATTATTCAGTTTCCTCTGAATTTCATCCCAAAGATGTTCAATTGGGTTTAAATCAGGACGAAGGGCTGGCCACTGCAAAATGTTGACACCGTTCCGCTGCAGGAAGTCCCGTGTAGCTCTGGCAGTATGGGCCCGGGCGTTATCATGCTTAAAAATGTTGTTCCGGTGACGTGCGAAATGTGGTATGACGTGGGGTCTGAGAGCTTGGTCGATGTAGCGCACCGCTGTGATGCTGCCTCCTCTCCCTGAACCAAGGTTCTGGAACACCACAGGACCCACTCTCTGGTTCAGGCCTATTCCATACCATACCATGATGCTTGCACCTCCCCGTGAGTCTCATTCCACAACACATTGGTCTCTGAGTAACGCTGGTCACGTCGTCGCCATATTCTTGTTCTGCCATCTGCTGTTGATACGCAGTACCGACTCTCATCTGTGAACAGAACAGTTCTCCATTGCCTGTATTGCCATTTTTAGTGTTGTAGGGCAAACTGTAGACTTTCACGCCGATGACGAGGGATGAGGATAGGTCCACGGTAAGGTCTACGGCAATAGGGGTTCCCGCTGTTAAGATGCCGGCGTACTGTATCAGTACTGATTGGTCTTCCGTGTGCTCCCACTGTCTGGCGTGCTGTTTCGGATGCCTGCATGAAGGGATTCTGTACATGCTGTCACACAACATGGCGGTCTTGTCGTCTTGTGGTCACCCTTGGTCTGCCAGTAGGGGGGCGATCATTTGTGGTGTTGGTGGCCCGGAAACGTTGCTGCAGCCCGTAGATGGCCCGAACGTTGACCTGGAAGTGATTGGCAACGGCTTGTACAGTGTGGCCAGCTTCAAGTCTTCCTAGCGCCTGGTTCCTCTGAGCTGTCGTGAGTCGTGGCATCCTACTGACGTTGTAATGTGAATGTTTCAACCAAGTTTGGGGGTGCATTTAATAGGGCCGGTCCTTGTGAACAGCACATGCAGCATGAGTTGCATGAAAAACATGGAGAACACCGTACCATCTTCGAGATCAGGTTGCGTTTTTGAGAACATTTCCTGTGTTCAATTCTGAGTTTGGGAAGGAATGTCTTTGCTCAGGTAAAGTTGGAGATGTTGTCAAAAATATACAATAAAAAATTAGATGAGTTTACAGTTATCCGTTTCTGCGTAGGAAAATTCCAAACTGACGTTTCTTTTGCTGCTTAGTATATTATACTAGGCGAAGGGAGAATATATTTCAATTGCACGAATGTGGTTGACGATTGGTGTTATGTATTGTTAATTTGTCCAGTGTATCGTGTTGAACGGTGTCAACCTATAAAACCATGTCACCAGTTGACATGTCATCTTCTTATGTGATGAAACGACTTTTATTCAATCAAATTTTGTTGCATGCCCTTTATCTCCCCTTAACCTGCGATATATATTATTTTACAAAGAAACGAAATCTGATTTATATAATTGATAGACATATTTTATGTGTTTTTAGTGTTCATTCTCAAGTTTTTACTTGTTTTTGTATATTTTTTATGATAATAACACGATTCTCTATACACTCTTCAAAAAAAGAAACGCAAAATGAAATTCAAGAATGATACTTACAATTTTGTACACATATGTAAACTCAAACATTTTTAGGGTTGCACATTGTTTCTGGAATGTTTTAGAAGATCATGCTTGACCAAACGCAACCAAAAATGATTTTGAACGGTTTTATCAATCAGGATTGTCATGATGTGCGTGGATGTCATGCAGCACGAATATCAGGCACAATGATTGTTTCTCACGTGCAAAGCATGAGTACAGCATGTGACTATAAAAGACCCAAATGAATCTCACAATTTCATCCACGATCTTTGCAAGTACTGTACACGAAAATGGGACGTCTCAACGCTGCCGATCGAAATCAGGCAATTGGACGATTGCAAGCTGGCGAATCAAAGAGTGAGGTGGCAAGGATCTTCAACGTTCATCCCAGCACAATAACTCGATTGTGGGATCGATTTCGTCAAACAAATTCGACAAATGACCGTCCAAGATCAGGAAGACCTAGAGTCACCACACCTGCCCAAGATCGGTACATCCGGGTAACCCACCTACGTGACCGCCATCGTACCGCCCGGGACACAGCACAAGAACAGTTTGGAGCCCGAAGAGTGTCCGATCAGACAATCAGGAACCGTCTCCGAGAAGTAGGAATACGTGCCAAACGTCCAAAAGTTGCCCCTCCTTGACACGACTACATCGACGTCGACGAGTGAGATGGTGTAACACGGTGCTGCCATGGAACCTGGCAAACTGGAGGCGCATATGGTTTAGCGATGAATCCCGTTATCTCCTCAGGCGACGTGATGGTAGAGACCGTGTCTACAGACGACGTCATGAACGTTTTGCTCCTAACTGCATCAGACAGGTGGACAGATTCGTTGGAGGGAGTGTTATGGTGTGGGGAGCGATCTCATACACCCGCAGATCGGAACTTGTGCTTGTCCAAGGCAATCTGACGGCCAATCGATACATCGACCAGATTCTCCGTCCGCACGTCCTTCACTTTGTTGACCGTCAACGGCAGCTCTTCCAACAGGACAACGCCAGGCCCCACACAGCACGTGCCACCGTGGACTACCTGGCCAATAACAACATCAATACCCTCCCCTGGCCCTCCAGATCCCCGGATCTAAACCCAATCGAACACCTTTGGGATCAGATCGATAGACGGGTACGTCGACGTCGTATTCCACCACAGAATCTTCAACAGTTGTTCCACATGCTGCAGGAGGAATGGAGAAGGATTCCACAACAAAACATCCAACGACTGATTCGATCTGTACCCAGGAGGTGTCGGGCAGTGGTAGCAGCTGGAGGTGGTCATACGAGGTACTGACTTCAACACCACCTGGTGGACAGCAGCAATGACTGTGATGACTGTTATTCTCATGACATATGAACAAGATAGCAATGCATTGCTCCACAAAATTTCATTCATGTATCTTTGTTTTCCGCTGATCTACACGTCCTTGAATAACACCAAATTTTCATTGATATTTGGGTTTTGCGTTTCTTTTTTTGAAGAGTGTATTGAACGTCTATCAGAGAATAATGAACACCTTTGCTTGTCCATCAGTGTTCATGTTTGCAGCCTTCTCACTGACGAAACATCTTGATTTGGACGGATTTGTTCGCACTCCGAAACATGTCCTCTTTGACATCCTTGTCTTCCGGACAACAAAACCAATTATGATACTGACTTTCGTGAGTGACACTGCAAGGGAGGAGAGTGTTCTCTTTTATAACGCTCGACTTTCAAAGTTTGCCTTAAGGGGCATCAATGAAGACTTAAAGTTGGACCTGTCGGTCATACATGGTGTTCTCGGTGAAGAAGATTGCATCAGTGATGCCGTATTCACTGAGACGATTCGACAGTTGGAAAGTAATACCACAGTGTTTGCACTCCCGCTGTCTCTTCAAATGGACAGTAATTTACACGGAAAGGTGGTGAAGAGCTTCCTGACACGATTTGAAGACAGGGAAAGTTCCAAACAGCTTAAGGACATGACCAAACCGGAGAAAGACGTTTCTGATCAAACCGAATCAGGTAGGGCACAGCCGCTCTATCACGTGTTTAAGGCAGCAGTAGTAGTAGTAGCAGCAGTGGTAGTAGTAGTTGCAGTAGCAGCAGTGGTAGTAGTAGAGGTAATAGCAGTAGTAGTAGTAGCAGCAGAAGTAGTATTAGTAGTGGTAGCAGTAATCGTAGTAGTTGCAGTAGAAGTAGTAGTAGTAGTGGTAGCAGTATGAGTAGTAGTAGCAGCAGAAGTAGTGTAGTAGTGGTAGCAGTACTAGTAGTAGTAGCAGCAGAAGTAGTAGTAGTAGTGGTAGCAGTACTAGTAGTAGTTGCAGTAAGAGTAGTAGTAGTGGTAGCAGCTAGTAGTAGTAGTGAAGTAGCAGCAGCAGCAGCAGTAGTAGTGGCAGCAAGTAGCAGTACTAGTAGTAGTAGTAGCAGTAGAAGTAGTATTGGTAGCAGTACTAGTAGTAGTTGCAGTAGCAACAGTGGAAGTAGTAGTAGCAGCAGAAGTAGTTGTAGAAGAAGTAGTAGTAGCAGCTGTAGTAGAAATAGTAACAGTAGTAGCAGTAGTAGTAATAGTAGTTGTAGTAGAAATAGCAGTAGTAGCAGCAGCAGCAGCAATAGTAGTAGCAGTAGGAGGAGGAGTAGCCGTAGTAGTAGCAGCAGGAGCAGTAGTAGCTGAAGGAGCAGTAGCAGTAAAAGTAGTGGTAGTAGCAGTAGCAGTAGTGGTAGTAGTAGTAACAGTAATAGTAGTAGTAGTTGTTGTAGTAGTAGTGGTAGTAGTAGTAGTAGTAGTAGTAGTAGCAGTAGTAGTAGTAGTAGTAGTAGTAGTAGTAGTAGTAGTAGTATAGTAGTAGTAGTAGTAGTAGTAGTGGTAGTAGTAGTAGCAGTAATAATAGTAATAGTAGTAGTAGTAGTAGAAGTAATAGTAGTAGTAGTTTATAATCCCGACATTAGTGTTACTATTTGTATTCTACAGCTCCGCTGATTTCTTGTGAGGTTGTGTGTGACATGGACTCTTCTACATAACACACATGACTGTACATGAACACACACAAACATACACAAAGACACACAAAGACACTAACGCACGTACATACACAGAGAAACAAACAGACGCTTAGACACGTGCACTCTCAATGCTTAACTAAATAATGAGTCTATGGTTATATCAACAGAAAGCTGTCGCCACGTCATCTGCATCTATCGGACTATGGTACGTACTCCATGTTCAGTTTCCCTAATCAAACTATCTGCCTCAAATCTCATTACTACGGATTATCATTAACCGCGGGACTCAATTCCATATTGACAGTTTAGTTAATCTTTTTAAAAACAGACCAAATGTTTATATTACAAAACAACGAATACGTTTTCCAGTATGTACAGTATAACGGCTGTTAGATAAATAAAGAATTTGATTTCTTCCAGTATCAGAAACTGCTGACGAAGCTTAAAAGGAGATATCAAGGTGTGTGTGCGTCTCTTTCACATCAGACCCGTGAAGATCCGGGTTACAAGTGGTCTTCAGTAACCCGTGCTTGTCGTAAGAGGCAACTAATGGGATCGGGTGGTCAGGCTCGCTGGCTTGGTTGACACACGTCATTGTATCCCAGTTTCGTAGATCGATGCTCATGATGTTGATCACTGGATTGTCTGGTCCAGATTATTTACAGACCGCCGTCATATAGCTTGAATATTGCTGAGTGCGGCGTTAAACAACCAACCAAACAAACAAACAAATCTTTCTGATCAGCATATCTGATATACCGTTCCATATACCGTGTTGGTTGTATTTTATAATTTTCAGATGAAGTGCAACTAATGCGCACATTCCAACTTTTGAATTGATTTGATTTTGTCACGGGTTGAACAGATGTTATTAAACTCATAATTTGATCTCAAGGTTCACTACTCTGTTCATGTTATTTAGTCCAGTATGTTTGCGTAGCAATTGTCACCATGTATAACCCTGAAATCAAATCGAATTTGTTAATGCTGACCATAATGAAAAGAATTTCGCTAGGCATTGGAATCATCGCAAAGGGACTACATTTGAAACACACAAAAATCCAAAATCATTGGAATTCATTATGTTATATCATTTGGCCTTGATTATACGAAACTTCATTCGTTTTTGTCATTCTACAATGTTTCAACGGTTGAACGATGTCAGACTATCGCAGCCATCCACATGAAAAAAACAAAGTATTTCTCAAATTAGATGAGTATGTAGCTGATACACATCATTATATTATCTGTACCATGTATTGCTTATAAATGTCTACGGTTTCCGATATATGTACAACACTGTATGTGCACAATTTTACGTATGCAATATATACTGAACCGCAAAAGAAACGCGACTTAGTATTTCAGTGGTACCATTTTTGGTGATTTTTTCGTGTGAACTCTAAATGTGATTCCCGAAAATGTGTTAACCATAATTGACAAGTTTGTACGTAATCATCCGTTTTGATTGTTAATTAGAGTGGTTTAAGAAACCTCTATCAGTGTGCGTTTCTGTTGCGGTTCAGTATAGTAGCGTTATATCGTCATTTTTCATTTATAAGCTTACGTATTCAATCAATGAATAAAGCACACGTATGGCCAATACCTCTTGCAATGACTATTGTAGTCCATTTACGGAACTGTGTCCTGCTGAGAGTGCTTTCACTTAATTCTCGATACAGCACAGGGACATGTGTGTCTGGGCCTGTAGACGATAATGTATTCAAAAAAATCTACTTATTTAGGTACCACCATGAAGATTCATCCTTCAATGAAGTCATCATTGCCATCAAGTTCTGGTTTTGGTAAGGACAACATATGTTTAGTTTTATAGATGTTAACCGCTACCATGAAGTGGCATCGGAATGCATCAAATCGTTCGCTTTTGACATAATTAAAGAGAACATTACCAGGCTATAGTAGTGCTTTTAATGCTCATAAATATTGTTTCTTGACTGGAAAATATGCTGATTTTCAAAGATAAGATGTGTGCGATACAAATCAGAAGATGCGTAATAATCCAGGAAAAGTTCCATTTTATTAAACTTTCTAAATGTTTTTAATGAAAATAACCAGATAGAAATATTCTTTGTGTGACTAAGCGCCACTAAGTTGTATTTTAGCATATGGCTACAGCAAATGAAAAGCGAATGCAAATCACACATATGTTATAATCAACTGAGAGGTATAGTTTCTTTGTCAGTTTACAACACAGGGTATTACCAACAACAGGGATATATTACAAAGCAAAATGTTTTACACGACACTTATTTTCAATCTGTATAACCTTAAAACCTTTATGTTGCTTATTATTTATGATTAAAGGTACTTACATAAATGAAACAGACATCGAAGCCGAGGAACTGGATGTTTTGAGGGATGATGATTCTCTTATTTTGGAGGAAGGTGAAGAGGGTACGTCATAGAGCTGTCGACTGTCTTATAGCATTCTGATTATTATTACATACCGTGACATTAACGTTCTTCTATAGCGATTGAGTAGTTGAATTATCATATATATATATATATATATATATATATATATATATATATATATATATATATATATATATATATATATATATATATGTAATGACGTCATACTGTCCGCTACAATCTCCCTGATGAGTAAAGAAAGAAACATGTTGAGAAAAAGGCATTCTGTTTTTATTTATCTATGTAATATAATATATATATATATATATATATATATATATATATTTATATTATTTACAGACATATATATAGCTGTCTGCAAATAAGCAAAACTTACATGAATCCATATATATAAGACAAGTATATGTGGATGGCAACTTCTTATTTTATGTATAACACAATGTTTCTGGGACATTTCTTCTTAAAACCTTTTTTTATACCGGAGACCACCGGGGTGTGTGCTTTCTGTGTAAATAATTTAGAACGTTCCGTAAGGTTAAGGATGTTTCTCAATTTCATTTGAAGATGAAGATGCTGTTATGGAAAGCAGACACAAAGACGAGGTACGTGTTAATACCCATATCTGTATAGCCGTGGAAGGTGTTCATTCACTATTGTCGTTCAAATTGCAGTACGGCAGTACTGTCTAAAGTAAATATAAACACAAGACAAAAATAAATGTTAGAAATTAATGTAATTAATAATATACATGTATATGTTTGAGAAAGTGAGAAATTGTTTCATTTCACGATCCCAAGTAGGCTAACGTATTGCTTTTGGTTGTGGATGGCATATGCACATTCATGTTTGAATTACTTGATAGTTCTACCTCCAAATTCCATTTGAAAGAGTAACTGTGAAGTTTGAAAACTTAGTTGTATCAAATATAAAAGAACTGAGCCTAACGTTTGTGCCAATATATTTCAGGTCAAGAAATTAAGACGCAAAGTAAGGCAGTTAGAAGCAGGTAAGTCATTTCAAAGGGACATTTACATACATGTCTTTTACGAATTAGGCAAAAGTTAATTGGTACCCATTTCTAATTAGGCAACATTTCTCTTTTAGTGCTTTCAGTAGACTGTTATCACTCTACAGGCGTCGGAAGGAAGTCATTATGTGTGATCAATGGCCAGTTTCCTTTCCTAGGGGTAACTCTTTAACTATGATGTATTCATGATTATGGAAAAGTTCTATTTCGCTTTCCTTTTATCTTTCCACTTAAATATATTCTGTTTACTTCCAGAACTAAAGGTCGAGCGTTGGAGAACTGTTCAAACTACACTTGCAGCTGGTTCAGATAGAGGTAGCTTTTGTAGTCTATTTTATTAAAGAACATTTCGGTCATAGATACTTTTGAAAAATATAGTAAACATACTCAATTTCTTGACTCCCGCTTATCGACAAGCTCTAACTATCTTTAAAAACAAATTCCGTTTGGTATAAAGGCAAAAATACCTGTGAAAAATTAATCACTGAAAATCAGTGACGACACCAGGTGTTCACCAGTATTCCTGTCATGCGATCACGGCTTATAGGTCATGTTAAAGTCTTTCTTTTTGAAAAAATATGTTCAATTTTCAATAATGCGTTAACGTTGGCGTTATATTGTTTTACAGAAGCTTTACCTGACCACCACCATGTCCAAACACATACAGTTTCAGAAGGATCTACACAAACAGAAGTGCCTCATCTTGCTGTGGCAGATTTGAACGACACGAAATCTGAGAAGAAGCCAAAACAAGATATTGTTGAATCAAAACGGCACATTGCCAGAAATATATCTATGACCTTCTTGTTAAGAAAAAGAGACTTCCGTGGTAAAACGTGGTAAACTAGTAAAGGCTGGAAAACAATAAATTTTTCTAGTAAAGATACAAGAGGACAATACGGAAGGACAGCGGTCATGATGGCAGCTCACATGGGTCACATTTCTGTGTTCTATTCCCTAGTGGACAAAGGCTGTAACCTGTCCTTGAAAGATGCTGATGGCGATAATGTTCTTCATCTGGCCTGTATAAGTGGAAATATTGACATTGTCAGGTATCTCCTTTCCAGAGATGACATTGACAAAGACAGAAGAGGGAAATATGGCGACACTGCTGTAAGGCTTGCTGCTGTGTATGGACGTAAGAAAATATTTTACCTGTTCGTTTCCAAAGGATGCATGTTATAACTTCGGTCTGAACATTTTGATAACATTTTACATGTAGCTTGTGTTGGTGGCAATGCTTCAATCGTCAAGAAACTTCTAGAAAAGGAAGAAGCACTCATCAACAGCAGAGGCCAACATGGGAAAACCCTAGTGATGGTAGCAGCACAGCGAGGTGACGCAGAACTGTTCAATGTGCTTGTTGAATATGACTGTGATTTGTCAATTCGTGACCATTACAATAACTGGGTCCTCCATGTGGCGTGTTTCGGTGGCAATGCCACTTTAGTCAAGCACATCATCTCGAGAAAATACTTTGGCGTAGGTGTGAGGGGATATTTGGGAAGGACAGGTGCTATGGTGGCAGTATCACAAGGTCACAGAGAGGTATCTGATGTTCTATTTGAGGAAGGATGCGATTTGTCACTGGGAGATGAAAATGGTTTAACTGTTGTCCATTATGTTTGTATTGATCAAAAAGTAGATTTTGTGGACTTTTTTCTTTCACGAGACTTTGCGAAAAACACCTATGACCAAAGAAGCTCAACTGGCGAGACTCCTTTGGCGACAGCAGCTCGTTTTGGTAACTGGAAGGTTTGTGAGAATCTGATACAGAGAGGGTGTGATATCAATGCTACAGATTGCTATGGTAACAGCGTCTTCATGTTGGCTTACATTGGAGGATGTACAGACCTAGTAGAGGCACTCCTTCTGGATTACAGGCTCAACAGATCTGCCATATTGTTGCATGCATCAAGTGAAGGTTACAAAGATGTCGTTGACTTACTTCTTAAACGGGAAAGCTATCTTCAAAAGGATAGATTTAATCATGCAAATTATGGTATTCAAGGCTACGATGTTGACGCTATGGATGGAATAACTGTGACAAAGTCTGTTGGGAAAACACACAGTCGAACCCCTTTCGCACAAGACCAGGAAGACGATACCGTTTACTTATCCGAAGACATTAACCAGGAGACATCTTTTCTGACTGCTTGTAAAACTGGAGATACTAAAGTGGTTCACGATATGATTAACTCTGGAAAGGTAAAAGTGAACTGCAAAGACAATTCCGGCGCAAAAGCTGTACTGATTGCAGCTAGCAATGGACACATACAATTACTGAAAACATTGATCATCAATGGCTGCAATTTCCTGGTTGTGGATCACCATGGTAACAACATACTTCATCGCGTCTGTTTATGGAACGATGTAGGTCTGGTAGAGTACGTCTTGTCTCTTGGCCAACTTGATATCAACAGCAGAGGATTGCTACGCAGGACGCCTGTGATGATCGCCGTACAACAAGGGAATTTGCATGTTGTGACGCTTCTTGTAAACAAGGGATGTGATCTGTCGATGTCTGACGCATTTGGCAATACTGCCCTACACTTAGCATGTGGGGGGAAAATCCGCCTATTGTAGAATACTTACTTTTTGTTGGAAGGATGGACATCAACAGTAGGGGAGAGGATGGCATGACACCAGTAATGACTGCTGCACAGCATGGTTGTTGGAAGGTATTCGATATGTTGGTGGAAGAGGGAGGTTCGCTCCTTCTAACTGACAATTTTGGCAACACTGTGCTTCATCTAGCTTGTGAAGTAGGTAGTTATGAAATAATTGAGTACCTTCTTGCGACTCACAAGCAGTATGCGCATTTCAGAAATGTGTGTGGATTTACACCTGCCCATACAGCATCTGTCTTCGGACATGAAGATCTTGCTGAATTTCTGTTGGAACAATAATACAGAGACTTCTTGAAAATGCCGTGTAACGCAAAGAGGGTATTTACATGAGATCTCTTCACCAATAGTCAGCCATACTGGTTGTAGAGAGGTCGTTGTGGAGGCCCAATCACAGACTTTTCACAGGCAGAGATTGTCCTTGACTCTTACTAAAGTTGTAATGATGTAATTGTAGTTTTATGTATCATGATCGCTTCGTCATTCCTTGTACATAATCACAGAGAAATGTGACCGCCATTCTTATGCTTTTCTTACGTTAATCAGTATTTTAAGAATTATTACAATGTACTTGACATATACACATATCCATTGCAGGGGAGGGCGGGGGCGGGACGGGTCTGTTGTTCCGTTGATAAGAATATTAACCCTTGAAAGGGCCCTTGCTTCCTATGATGATGTCAGTACATATTTGGCACTACTTTAAGATGATTTTATAATGTATAAGTCAAGTGAATCTGTCATCTTTATATCTTTATTTGATCAGTAGGATTTAAAAGTTCAGTTTCAGTCTCCGTCACTCCGTCTGTCGCCTGATAACAAGTCTGAGTCGATGATCATTTAGTTGATAAATTGAACACGTAGTGTTGGATGTCAGCAATTTGTTATATGCCAGGCAGTAATTGTAACAAGCCTAATCAAACGGCATGCCTTAGAACGATTTCCAGATATTTAATATTGACATACAGTGACAACTTGCTCATTTTCCAAATACACAAATCCAGTTTAACAATATCAACAGCACGATCCTGGTCACATGATGGCTTTTTTAGATTATACTAAAATAACCATGAGTAAAGTAAGAAACTGTGTTAAAGAAAAACAAACTAAATTGATAAATAATAAAAAATATTAACGAAGCTAAAGGTAACATGGCATTGATGTTAAGGAATGATATAGTCGCAGTTGTATAATGCACATTAAGGAAAATGTTTGGACACATACGTTCTTCAAGGGGATGCAGGATCAGAACTTTGAAACATTTTGAAGACTTCCAACCAAATCCAACGGGTAATTTATTTGATAGATGGATCAAATGTAACGGCGAATTTCTGAAACAGATAAGAGGTTTATGGGATCTTTAACACTTCAATATGATAACAGAGAAAGGCAAATTTGAATTTCAAGACGAATCTGTATGCGAGGATGAAAATACCTATACATGAATTAGCAAAAACATTGTTGTTGGTTGAATTTGAGACAGAGGAAATTGTACATTTTGATACAATTTTGTTTTGTTTTTTGTATAACATTCTCGTGATCCTTTTGTTACGGGTTTTCGGACGCTTAAGAACATCCCTTGGATTATCCTGGTTGTTAAAGCGTTCTCACGTCATACCGAAGACACGGGTTCGATTCCGAACATGGGTACAATGTGTGAAGCCCTTTTCTGCTGTCCCCCCGTCGTGGTGTTTCTGGTATATTTGTAAAATCGGCCTAAAACTCACTCACTCACCACTGTTATCTTTCTAGATGTAGGTAGGTCTCTCTTTATATGTAAGTATTATTATACAATGCGTGTGGGTCTTAGTAAGTGATTGTGTGTATTACATGTATATACTACCGGCGTACACTTTTTACGATGGTTTTAATTTGTATTATTTGTGTAATGTATATCTTGTCTTCGGATAATGTATTTGTTAGTGTGCCAGATATATTATATTCAATCATGTATTCACGTGAATCCGAAATATGTCAATATAAACACAAACATGCACGCACGCACGCACGCATGCATGCAAACCGAGGCCTGAGTCTCGTTAACCTATTCAGAGAATGACCTACTTTTGAGCTGATCCGAATTTTCTCGTGTGAAAGTGAAAAGAGACACCACAAATAACTATGGTTACACTGAATTCTAATTCCTTGTTTCATAAGAAAATGGTATTTACAAGTTTTATAATATCAAGATTGATATAATATCAAGTCCGTACCAGACCGCCAAACTTTTCTAGCGGCAGAGCCTCGTTTTGAGATTTCCACGATTTCCAGATTTCCGTTTGTCAGAGCACGCTGTACGACGTGTTTGCAAGGATTAGAGGGAGGGTAGTGTTGCAATAAACAAGTGCTTAGATGTATCAAATAATACTAGGACGGAACCCAGTCAGCAGGAAACGAGACTGTTGTGTAATCAATGTTTTGACTTGATGCATGCATGGATAGGTTTTACTCTGAAAAGGTAATATGTGTCCAAGGTGCAGGTGCTTATTTCGGTTTTAGTGTTTGTTCCCAGACATGACAAAGATTATACATACATGCATGAGTACATACATACATGCATTCGGGGGGTTATATATATCAATGGATCACTGAAATTCTTTCATGACTCCAGTTAATGTAGGTGTAGACATACTATGGACTTCAGTGTGAACAGTAATAGCTGGTTTAAACATACAACTGATTTCATTGTAAAAGATAAGCGTTTTAGTTACTTATCTTTAGTTTGCATACTTACTATGTGTACAGCAGAGAGCATCAGTTTATATTGCTCTACAACAACAAAAGGCCGTTAAACCTGTAAATCAGGGACTTGAAGATATCCAAAACAAGTATCGGGAGTAGTCTTAGCATGTTTCTGTTTTTCCTATCATATATTTCATCATAATGTGGCTTCTGTTCAAGCACGTTGAAAGTATTTGATTATTCTTGGTGTTTTCATCTTCAGGGTGTAGAGAGACACTCAGTATTCATCATTTTGTATTTTGTACTTCTTTAAATATATGGTTGTTTAAATTTCCCTATACTTGTCCTTCCATTACCTTTGTTATACATGTACAGCCATGTATATACACAACAACTTCCATCTGCTATAGGGCGGTGGGGTAACACAGTGGTTAAAGCGTCCGCTCGTCATCCTGGTTCGATTCCCCACATGGGTACAATGTATGAAGCCCATTTCTGGTGTCCCCCGCCGCGATATTGTTGGAATATTGCTAAAAGCGGCGCAAAACCATACTCACTCGCTCCATCTGCTATAATGCAAATACTTACTGCATATGTTTAAACAGTCCGCGTTAATATCCACATACTATGATGAACTATCTGTACTGTGGTGTACACAAGTGTGCTTCGCTAACTTTGCGAAATGTGACCAAATACCACGTCTCATATTCAACCGATGGATGCAGGAATAATTCGGACATTCAAGGCATACTACAATAGATCGCTTGTTAGACATTACCTCACCTGTGCTGAGGAAGGACGTGATCAGACACGTCGGATCAACATGCGGATGTCACTCGGTAAAATTATTCATGTGATGAATTCAATGAGGAAGGTTAAACGAACACAAACAACAATGAAAGACTTTTTGCTATGACTATAGATTATTGTTGTGCTTGCGATTCATTGCTTTACATTAAATGCTTATTTGTTTTATCCAGATTCGTGTCGTTTTTGTAATAGTAAGGGAAGCAACTCTTGCTTGAACTTGGGTCTTGATTCAGTAGTCCGGACTATTCGCAATCCGGACGAATTTGCTGAGAAACGCAACCGTCCGGATTAACGAGGATTCACTGTATTTGTGATAACCGTTTATGTGAGTCCAATATGTCCAAGGTTATCCTCTTGTGGAAGTTGTGCATTTGAATGTAGCTGACCAAACATACCAATACTTCTGTTTTATTTCATTAAAGATTACTTTTAGACATTTTTTAATAACTGTTTGATTTTCAGTCGGGCTATTAAATCTAAAGAGTTATCAGCCCCTATTTGGGTTACTGGATGTATCGACAGCCCTCAATTCGTTTTTTCAAATTTTATGTAAATTCATTTGGATAAAGTATTTAGGTGGTATTTGGTGTAGATATATATCTTTTGAAATTTGAAAGGTTTTCCCTTAACATTCAAGTATGACCCTTTCTCTCTTTCCTTTACCGGACTTTTACTAATAATAATGACAACATAGTAGTTGTTCCCTGTGCCAGAATAGAATAGTTAGTGTGTGCTTCCATTATTAATTATAAACGAAACCGATTTCATAAATTTGTAGAAATTCGAAGAAGTTGGTATCCCCCACGGTTCAGTCTCGTTGAAGGTATAAGTTACTGTAGGGCGGTGGGGTAGCCTAGTGGTTAAAGCGTTGGCTCGTCACGCCGAAGACCCGGGTTCGAATCCCCACATGGGTACAATGTGTGAAGCCCATTTCTGCTGTCCCCGCCGTGATGTTGCTGGAATATTGCTAAAAGCGGCGTAAAACCAAACTCAGTCAGTCAGTCAGTATAAGTTACTGTAGAATTATAGGTTTGTTTGCCGACGACACATCAATACATGTCCTCACAGATGACCAGATTACAGCAGCCTTGTGTATCAATAATGACCTAGAACAAAATCGGATCGGGCCAATAAAAGTCAAGTAGGATGTAGCCCTGAAAATCACCATTTATACATGAAAGGTAATCCCAATAAAGAAGTAGACGTCATAAACAGTTTTGGAATTACACTTCAAAGCGATTGTTGTACATATAGATGATATTACTAAGAAGGTAAGTCTCATGATTACCTGCTTACAGGGCTTCAAATATGGCCTATCAAGGAAAACTCTAGACATGTTGAATAAGTTGTTGATTCTTTCCATCTTTGAAGATTGTTGTCACATTGAGGGTAGCTGTACGAATGAACAAGAACAGGGTCTACTGCATGAAAATCTACATTTGGATGCTCTCAGAACTATACTACCCATCAAAAGTTTAGACTCACTTAAAGCACTCACTATATGTTATGTTTTTATATATATAGTTTTTTACATCGAAGATGAATTTCTCCACTAACTTGGGGGAACCGACTGCAAACCGAATACAGATGAACTGCACGGGGATCATGCATCAAATTGCTGAAAAGCATGTGCAAATATCGTGCTCGTGAACAGCTGCGTGTTGGTGTGAAGTTTCTTTATATTCGCCAATTTCCATCATTTTTTGAACTCATGACAATGATCTTTCCAATGATCTTTACAATACATCAGTTCATGTGTAAACTGTACCTTTAAACAGTGTGGAATATTTTGTAAATCTAGTTTGGGACAGTTGACTGAAGTTAGTGGCTACATGTACACTAGTGAGTCTAAACTTTGGATGGGTAAGTACACTTGCGGTGTAGTTAGGGGTACCAGTCAGGAAAAGATATAATTAATTTCAAATCTCATTTCATTTAAAAAAGAAAGAGGATATCGTTTCAAAGTGATTTCATTTTAAAAAATCGCATGGTAATTTAACTTAACAGAGTTGCCAAGATATGTAATTATGATCTGAGAAACCGATTGTATTCACAAGCAGTCAACTGTTGAACGCAAAGGTATGTTAAGTCATTTCTTCCTAGTATAATTAGCTTCTGGAAGTCTTTGCCCGAAGAAGTCACTAATGCTAACTCAATAAGAGAATTTAAAACTTTAATTACTTCTCCAAATTTGATTAGCACCTACTTTCACTTGAACTCCCTAATACAAAAACTCTAAATGAAGCAAGTCTAGATATTCGTCATGTTCATATCCGATCACACCAGGGCTCCATTTCAATTGAAGCACGTGTATCCCAGTGTACCCGTAACATCCAGCGTTAAAACACCACTCATTGTTCTAAACCCTAAAAGCGCAGTACCAGAAGCTAAATCTCTGTCGACAGTACCAGAACCTAAATCTCTGTCGACAGTACCAGAAGCTAAATCTCTGTCGACAGTACCAGAAGCAGCCGTATCTATCAACGATGCCCTTCGTTTGACAAAGCTTACACGGAGAGCGTTTCCCCTATCTACTTCTGACACGTTTGCAACACAATCAACAGCAACGGTTACTTGATAAATTTTGAATAGTATGTTTTGTAAATAGATTAATGGTATTTTAAACATGGTAGTATAATTAGCAACTGCGATTGTTAGTGGCTGTATCCACGAAGGGGGTTAAAGTATCGTAAAGTTATTGTCCTCCTGAGAGGATACGTAAGTCCCAAAACTTTCAAAGTTAAATTTAAACTTCCCAGATTATTTTAAAATTTGGCTAAATATTTCCTACAATCGCAAGCGGCTGAAGGGATTGTGTAAATCCAACTAGGGTCCATGCAGGTAGCAAAGGCACTGTAAGTCCCATGGTCCCTGGTATGGTGATCTACCTTAGTTGTTGGCGATCTATAGTCAATTTTTATATTGTATTGTCCTAATTTGAAATGTAATTTTAGAGGGAGATGCTAGTTTTATTTCTTGATACTGTGATATTCTAGTTGGTTTTACTGTCCTTCGATGACAGGTTTTTATAATTTACATGTATTTATGGTGAACTCTTAACTTGTTTTATTCACGATATGGCTGAAATATTGCCGTTGTGACTGTAAATCTTAACTCACTCACTTACTCACAATCAACAGCAATGACTGCATCATATACAGCGACGCCGACGATCCCCCCATAGGACCTGACTCTTTCATCTCATCAGTGGCGTTTTCAGCCGTCTTACCACACTCATAACATTTGTAGACACATTTGCAATCTACATATATAGGCTACATATATATACATTCATGGTATCTACGTCCGAATCTTGAGTTTTGTCACTACAAGTTGAACGTTGCATGTGTAATTCTTGGCCAAATATATATTGTCCAGTATTTGATTCAGTGTTAACGTAAGATTCTATGGTTATTAATTCTGTATGTTCATGTGTTGTTTCTAGACCCAAACACAGTAACACATGCTATGTACGTCCTGAAAATGAAATTTAAAAAATCATACCAAATCATCAAGAATTTCGGCTTAAATACAAAGGATTTAACTTCAAGATGTCAATAGGCATAATTTATAGAAAGATAGTACCTGGTGATAACAACTGCACATTTCCACCTATGTTTGGAAGACAACAATCCGGTGACTTTCAAATGTGTATTCTCCAGTAATAACTGAGACAAGACATTAAAACAGAGAGTGAGTTTAGTTTTACGCTGCACTCAGCAATATTCCAGCTATATGGCGGTGGTCTGTAAATAATCGAGCCTGGTCCAGACAATCCAGTGATCAACAACATGAGCATCGATCTACGCAATTGGGATACGATGAGGCCACCCGATCCCGTTAGTCGCCTCCTACGACAAGCATGGGTTACTGAAGATCAAGTACCCGGATCTTCACGGGTACATTAAAGCAAAGTAGCTGTTCCACTTAAGTAGATTTCCAAAGTACATTGCTAGTTTTTATTATGTTCAATAATGGTACTTGACCACCAAACGACAAAAAAACAAAGCCAAGAGATTAATGAATTATACACCTTTATTAGACCAAAATAGCCGCGTCAAACGTAATTCCGGATCAAGGGGAAACTGGAACATCAACCGTTCAGTGCAAGGCATATCCACCGAACCATTTCTACTGTATTCATATATACAATAACACGAATTCACAATGTAAACAAAATATTTTTTGATAAAATTGGGACTTGGTTCAATATTGTTTGATTGTCATAACCATCTTACAGAGAAGTTCGGTATACCTTCGCATTAAGTTTGACTCTCACAAGAAAATTCAAATTTCACTGTACCATAGGACGGAATTACCTGAACATATTTACAGACCTCAATTGTAACACAATGTCGCTAATCGATATATCGGGACATTATAACGATATTTCACGGGGTTTGGTAATATAATCTGTGTTTTGAGCGGAGCAGTGATAAAAACGCCGTATAAAACTTAACAAAAAAGATGAAAAACTAGAAACACGACAGTGTATTGTGTATTTACAAACAATAACAGTGTGCGTCCTCGGTGAAGAAACCAACAGTTAACATTTAAAGGCAATGACGTCAATGTGAAACTAACAGTTTACCATGTAAAGGCAATCACGCCTGCGGACATGATAGTAGCCAAAACGAGGCTAAGATGGCGGACACTGGCCCCTGAAAAGAAGCAAAAGCAAAATTAATCATACAATTATGTCTGTAGGTTTGTTTAGATTGTAACGTAAAAGGAAAGTGAAATATCATGGCTGATGCTGCACATTAACACATTACCATGTCCCAGGATGGCTTATGCTGCACATTAACACATTACCATGTCCCAGGATGGCTTATGCTGCACATTAACACATTACCATGTCCCCTGACGTAATAACGGCTGCTGAACCAGAACTTCTAGACATAATGACACGGATGTACAAGTGTATGTTAAAACAGCCCCTTCCTTCATTATTTGAGGGAGGACTAGATGTTGACTACCCATTAACACCTATACAGGGCAAGCAAACAATAAACCACAATCCGGCGAATCGGTATTCGAACCCATCTGGCATGTCTACGTGATGCAACTCTTCATAGTGTGACGTCTTAGACTGGTCACTCATATCACTTTCAAACTATAAACGTTTGGAACAGAACCGGAGTTTAACACACTTTTCCACTCGAAAAGGTCTCAATTGAAAATGAAAACCTTATCATCCTGAAAATAGCTGTTTCATAGAACTGAATTGTGATGAAGCCTTTCTGTTAAGTTTAGCTGTCTTGCCAGGTAACGATAATTATCGATTTGCTAGAAGGGTTTATACCAGTTCAAAATGAAAGACGGGATGTCTTGAGTCTGGAGTTCCGAGGATACTCTTATTTTATGTTTATCACGAGTAAGCTAGCACATGGCCTTACCGCTATTTGGGTTTAAGGTGTCCACAATGCTGAGGACCTCGTTGAAGGAGGCGGAGGCCTCGATGGAGGATTTCTGGGCGGCACTCAGCTCCTGCTTTTGGAGATCCGAGACAGCGTTACTCTGCTCGGTTGTCAGCTGAGCAAACCCGTCGGCCGTGAACGCCTACAGCACACGGGAATATAAGTATCATAAAAAGCCAATAGTTTTGTCAAGATACATACTCTTCTACGATTGATATTACAAGCATGTTGAAATCACGGAGATAAAACGCCAAAATGGCAGTGTTAGTGTAAGACTGTTTTCCGATGACTTGACCGTTGTACAGACATATCAAATCCATCCATCCATCCATCCATCCATCAATTCTTTGAAGAGAGTGGGAAGGGTATCCATGAAGTGTAGCAGTTACGGAAGAATCTTATTGGGCGAGGTGAAATACGCAACAAGGGGCAGTGTACCAACATAACAACCCGTCATCAGGGGAGGCAAATTTACGGTTATGTCTACAATTCATGCGCTGTGATATTTCTAAACAAATAGAGGGATTTGTGTCCCAGCTGGACCATATAGATTCAGCGCAAGAAACGGCCCAGAGCAACCCATGATGTACGTGAAGGGCGACACAATAGATGACATCATAAAGACCTGTGATACGGTGTCATTGTACCGCCACAGTGTGGACCGATTCTCAGTCAGCTAATTGCCTGGTCCTGACTCGACTATTTGTAGACCGCTGTCGAAATATAGCAAACAAACAAAAATTCTAAATATTTGGGTGACATATATTGTTTACTAGCATTGTTCCTTATACTTACATTGGCCAGTGTAGCTGGAGGTATGGCAGAGATGGCTTGTGGGTCTATCTCCTTGATGTGCTCATTGGTGAACGAGCTGAGCGTGTTCTGGGGAAGTCCACCTAGAACACAAACACAATACCTAGAACTGGGAGATCTCGAGATTCTCACTACTTTCTGAAAGAAGAAGTGTTTAGGAGAACTCAAGACTCTTCTTATTGTCACAGTTTACTAATCAACAGAAGACACAACTCAGAGAACATTAGATTCTTCCTACCAGTAGACCCCTCCTCTCAAACACCCACCTACAGAACACTGGGATAATCATGCTGGTCCCCAGAACCTCCATGGCGTGTTACTAGAGAGTGCGACTCCCTATGTTGGTGTACCAGTAGACCCCTCCTCTCAAACACCCACCTACAGAACACAGGGATAATCATGCTGGTCCCCAGAACAACCATGGCGGATAGAGAGTGCGACTCCCTATGTTGGTGTACCAGTAGACCCCTCCTCTCAAACACCCACCTACAGAACACAGGGATAATCATGCTGGTCCCCAGAACCACCATGGCGTGTTACTAGAGAGTGCGACTCCCTATGTTGGTGTACCAGTAGACCCCTCTGTTGTCCTCCCTCACAGACTCACCTGCAAACACACCGATCTCCCCGACCAGGGCAGTGGCCTTGCCGCTCCAGTCTGCCCCCTCCACGGCCACGATATGGCTTCCCACCGCTGTTAGCTGAGCCGTATCCATGCACTTCACCGTGCTGAGGTCCTTAGCTGCCTCGCTGGTAACATACGGAACAGAATATTCATAAATGGAGCAAGTTGACGGATATAGTAAATAGCTGTTATTAACAGTCTGATATTAATTGCGCATCTGGTCTAGAATTCGTTTCAAAGATCTACCAACTGTGATCTGCGGTACCAACAGACTGTATTCATGGATCATGTTCTTCGAGTTTCTTTCTAACGCTGCTTTCAGTAATATTCTAACCAAGTGATCACTGAACTTATTAACTCGCCTATTGCTGCATGCACTCCCGATTACCTGATTTATTAAGTCGTCTATTGTTACAAAGGCTCCTGGTCAGTTCGTACGATTGATATGTCGCCTACTGTGACAGGCACTGTTGAACACCCGATATATTAAGATGCCTATTGGTTAAAGCGTCTGTTCGTCAAGGTGAAGCGGGTTCGATTCCCCACATGAGTACAATGAGTGAAGCCCATTTCTGGTGTCCCCCGCCGTGATATTGCTGGAATATTGTTAAAGCCGCTTAAAACCATTCTCACTCACTCACTATTAATACGTTTCTTGTGAAAGGCGCTCCTGACAACCGATTGGTACGTCGCGTGTTTGGAGTCCTGATCACCCAATTTACTAAGACACATATTGTAACAGGCGCTCCTGAACACCCGATTGGTACTTCGTCTACTGTGACAGGCGCTCCTGAACACCCGATTGGTACGTCGTCTACTGTGACAGGCGCTCCTGAACACCCGATTGGTACGTCGTCTACTGTGACAGGCGCTCCTGAACACCCGATTGGTACGTCGTCTACTGTGACAGGCGCTCCTGATCACCTGTTTCTTTAGTCGCCCATTGTGGCAAGCATATGTTGCTTAGGACAATTCAAACCAGAAATCCCCACGTGGATCTTCCCTGACTGACTGAGATATACTAGGCACATAAAGAAACTGTGCATTGTCAAAATATTATCCCAGTTGATAAGTACGATAACAATGTCAAAGGTACATATAAACTGTAATGGAGGGATCATGAGACCATAACAAATCGGGAGAATTTCAACTGAAAGTCAATCACAATGACGTCACGAGTCCACAAGCGGGACAGGGGTCAAACGACCATGTCACAAGCTCAATAACGGGTATGTCCACCATCGGCATTGAGAACAGCAGTGCATCGACGACGCATAGAGCGGTTGTTTCCCATTACCCCTACAGCCCAGTACCCCTACAATTAGTTAAAACAACACACGGCATTTACCTGTCTGGCATAATGAACTTACCCATGGGAGCGACTAAAGTGGTGTGTATACAAATTAGAAAGGATTAAGGTGTTCTTGGTTAGAGAAAGTTTGTTAAGATGAAATGAAGTAAATGTTGAAATTGACACTGAGATGAGACAAGTAATTTGAGATGACTTAGCATAGTATATAATTGTTGGAAACAAACTAACATGAAATCAACATGGCTGGTCTTCGCAATATTGAGTTTGTTATGTCACGGACAGGTAGCACCCAAGTCCTATTTGAGGGTTATCTACACACTAAGAATGTCGAGAGACAGTCTTGTGTACACTGGAAGTGTGTCCAGTCAACTTGCAGAGGCAGAGTCACAACAGTCGGAAATGTTTTGAGGATAGCCAGAAGGTCCGGTTTGTCAGCAACTTGAGGAAGAGAGCGAGGGAGGAGTCAACATCGATGCACACCCTCTACAACAACGAGATTACGAACTTGGACGATGATAAGATACCATTGTACCCGATGTACCAAGAGCGGCCACCTTCAACGATTACATGGTGACTACCTGGGTCGACGGCGACGCAAGATTCCATCTGCCACTGTGGAACCATCACTCAACAACAGGTCCAAGGACAAACAACAACCTAGAGGGATTCCACAACCGCCTGAACCGGGGACTCCCACATCGACACCCCAACATCTACCGATTTGTGGAGGTGATCAGGAAAGTTGAACACGCTGAGAGAGCGAACATTTCCCAGATAGACTAAAAACTTGGAGCAGCACAGAGAAGCAGAAAGAGAGTGTACAGAGAGATGGAGCATCGTTTGTGTCGCCTCAAGGAGCAGCTCAATCTTGGGCTGAAAACACCAATGCAGTTCCTTGATGCTGTGGCCATCTCCTCAAATTGGGATAGAGACTTGTTTAAAAGACAAAAATAAACATTAAAAAAGTTAACATGACCTGCTGCTCATATTCATGTCACGACCAGGAAGATATCTGTGTATTATATTCATTTATTTGTGTAATTAAATCCATAAACTAAAACATTAAATCTTGTGTTCATGTGTTTGGGCTAGTCCATTGTGCAGGTAACAGGTAACAGAAAGGGGATTAGCAGTGCATTGGACTGTGAACTTTGTTGTTATAAGCTGTGGGGGTAATGGGATGTGGGGGTAATGGAAGGATACCCATAGAGCCTATCAAACGTGCAAGGAATGCTTGTGGGATGTCACGCCAGATTCTCTCAAGTTCTGTTGCAAGGTCAATGACGTTATCTGGCGGATGAGGAAGACGGCGTAGACGTCGATCCATCTCGTCCCAAACATGTTCTATCGGGGAGAGATCCGGTGAATTTTTAGGCCAAGGCAGTAAGTCAACGTTGTGGTGTTGTGGTGAAATCCATAGCAACCCTTGCCGTATGAGGGCGGGCATTGTCCTGTTGGATTGTTAACCCAGGGCCATGACTTTGCAGAAAAGGAATCGCCACAGGTCGAAGAATCTGATCCCTGTAGCCCACCCCAGTTAAGTTGCCCTGAACAATCACCAAAGGAGTTCTTTGGCGTGCTGTTATTTCAACCCCAAATCATCACGGAACCACCACCAAAGCGATTCCTCTCCAAGACACAGGCCTGTGCATAACGTTCTCACACGCGTCTATAGGCACGTTGACGTCCATCACTATGGGAAATGTTAAACCTGGACTCATCTGTAAAAACAACATTTCTCCACCCAAACAAGGGTCTGTGGACATGATTTCGGCACCACATTCGGCGAGCTTGTCGATGACGTTGTGTCAGGATAGGCCGTATGGCGGGACGTCGTGGTCTGATCCCGTGATGGCGTAAACGTTGTCGAACTGTGTTGGGGTGGATACGGTGAAGTCCTGGGATGGTCCGGGCAGCCATCACTGCAGTCTGAAACCTGTGGCGAAGATGGGTCACCCTTATCCATCTGTCCTGTCTTGGCGTTGTTACACGTGGACGTCCAGAACGTTGCCGATCGATGACGTCATTTGTGTTCTGGTAGCGTCTTACCAGTGCAGAAATGATGTTCCGGTGGCAGTGGAAATGTGCAGCCACTTGTCGTTGAGACATTCCCCCACGGACCATCCCAATGGCCTCTTGACGTTGTGCAGACGTGAGCCTTGGCATGCTATGCGTTTCAATAGCCGTTTAACTTTTTGAACGATCGCAAGGGCAGGGGTTGAGCTTTCCAAAGTGACAGTATTGTGTGGCATTCATTTGCTTTGTTTCTCTTTCCCGGACTGCACGTGCAACAACGTCTTGCACGTCTCAAGGACGAAACCACTGACATCACGGAACGTGACACGTGCATGCATGTTGGATACATATCACTAATCTCTGAGTTTAAATCCTTATGTGTCTTGACAGGTTTGATAAATTTTTATTTTAAATTTTTGTATGCACAGTTTCTTTATGTGCCTAGTATATATGTCCGTAAACTTACTTCACATGTGTGTTGTTCATGTCCCCAATCTGAGACGATGTGAAGCCACATATCATATTGCCCATGTCGCCCAGAGTTTCATCGCTCAACGTTGTAATATCCGCTGCCGTCTTGTTGAGGTAGGCCACCAGCACATCGGCTGACTGAGACAAAGACCAACGGATTTTACTCATTCGAAATATCCTGAGATTATTATACAGAGATCATACGGAACAAACGTTTTATTCTCACACTGTACACTCCTAGACTCGTAATTTTATTTGGAACAGCATAAGAATCCAACGTTACCATGTATTCATTTCCGTCAGAATATATCCTTATCCGCTCAAAGAAAAACGTCAGATCAATTAAGCTTAAAAGATTTTTGGGGACATTGGGACATGGTGGTTCAGGACATGGTGCAGCAATTTGCTGTGGAGGGATTCTTACTTTTGGCATGCGAGAAATCTATAAATGTGGGTTAGAATCCCAGCTTTGGTCGTTGTTCCGGGTTTAACAGTAACTTAACCCCTGCCGGTAGATTTGGTCTCAATGGTCAACGTCAGTATCACATACAGGGGCCATACGCTGTGAAAACTCGGTTCAAAACTTTAACCTGCTGACCGCGGACCTTCAAAACCTGGGGGTGTTACAAGTAGGCCTGGACATGTTCACCAGTTTTTGCCGACACCCGGTGTTGTGACTGTGATTGCAAAGATTATAGTGTAGTATTTTGTGTTAACTGGACGCTGCCAAATGTTGGGAGGTACCGGATGGCATTGGCCTTACAGGTGAAGACGCAGCCTGCATGTGTTTGCCAACACTCCTGGCAGTATATGAGTGAATGTCAGTTAATGCCGCAGTTATGGTAATTCCGGTTATGACACTGTGGTGTGTAACTAAATGCGTCGGAACCAGGCAAGCCAGTGACCCATGACATACCTTATTAAGTTCCACGGCACCCAGTGCTTGGATGACCTCATCGTCCACGTCCAGAGACTGGATCTCCTCTGACGTCAGACAGTCCACCATCGTACCCAGAGCCTGCACGTCCGACTTGCCCCACGTGTTGACGGAGCTGCCCAGGGCATCGGCCTGAAGGTTAACATAGTGACTGATGGTGACCTAACACAATCACAGTCTTATGTTTAAAAGATGTGCATAAGCATGTTTGGTGATTTACTATTTTACATGAGCTTTATTTGACGCTCTACCTAAGTGCATGAGCTGTATTTGACGTTCTACCAATGTGCATGAGCTGTATTCGACGTTCTACCGATGAACATGAGATGTATTTGATGTTCTACAGATGTGAATGAGGCATATCTGACATTCAACCAATGTGAAAGGTATGTTTGTGCATGAGATATGCCTAAATGTGCACACCAAATTTTGTTTGCTCTACTAAGGTAAATGTGAAATACTGCTTACTCTACTCTGTCTACCTGTTAGAGGTAATTTGTTCTCGGTTTGGAATACCAGCTGTTTAAGAGATCTATCAAAATACACAAGATGATCTACAGATGTAATTGGGATACATAACATGTTCTATAAATCTTTATATATCAAAAGCCCCACACCAGTGTAGACGTTTACGTTAGTGAGACAACATCTGTGATGGTCAGGCGTTAGGCAGTGCTATACTGACGTGTCGTAGGTGATCCCGGAGTGCTGTACACTGGGCTGCGTCCCATGCCGTCGTAGACAACTGAGCCAGACAATTTCCAACCTCAGCTGGGGCCAGACCGGAGATCTGGCTGTCTGTCAGGAAGTCCAAGTTGCTACCGAAATCAGTAATAGTCGAGCAGTCGCCAGAGCCTGCAACACACCATCATGTTGTACCAGGCATGAGGCGGCAAAATGGTACAACATACTTCAGGACGTCTTATTAAATCACCTTTAACATTGAATGACTTGGTTGACGCAAATAACACCTCCATCACACATCCATCCACATGTTCAGAGTAAACAAATGAGGAACTGATGGGATGGTATTTCTCACCAAGGTATATTAATCAAACTGTTCTACAATAAAATCCTCTTCAAAGATCTTTTTTTCGTCCGAGATTCCCATGAGTAAATTCTTTATGAATACACACGAAATCCGTATCTGCTTCTACTATAAACTGACCACTGTCGCTGAGGCTGACCATACAGTCACTCCCGCACCTATTCCTTTTTTCCTTTACTAACCTGTCTGCCGTTTAGGATATAAGTACGCCCCACCTGCCTGTCCTGTCTGACTCTGTATTGACCTCTGCCGCAAGGTCAGCAATAAACTGAGATCAACCTTACACCACACCCACCAATTTCCAAATTCTTCCTTACTGACCTTCGTTCTAGGCAAGCAACAACTGAGGTTGACCCTACATAACATCCACACCCATACCCAATAGTTCCCCTTTCCTCCTTACTGACTTTCGTTTTAGGGCTGCCGTTAAGGTTATCTCTGTGCCCCACATACCCGTCGCCCTTTTCCTCCTTTACTGACTTTCTTCCCAGGTCTACAGTAACTTAGATTGACCTGACACTTACTGGTCGACCTCTTCCTCCTGGTTGCAGCCTGGTTGGCGGTAGTCACCTCGATGGCGAAGCTCCACAATTCCCCGGAGGCCTTCTTCACTGCTGCCACATACGTCGCCTTTTCATCTGCGCTGATGTCCCTGTTGTCTCTCTCCTCCAATTCCTCCCGGAACGCAGACACCTTCTCCATCACATCTTGGAGGATGGAGACCAGTTCCTCCTTCAGAGCCTGGAGGGAGGAAGAAGCCTTCAATGTACACCAGTGCATGTGGGGAATGTTACCAAATTTAGAGTTCGGTGTAAGAAAACATATGATCATGAATATTCGATTGTCAGGGTTGTGTTTTAAGCCCGCAATTAGTTATTATCTTCATTAACAAGTTATGTACTTTAATGGAACTGGAGGGTGGTTCAGGTGTAACAGTTTCATCCGATTTTGATAATGTATGTTCACTTATGTTTGCTGATGATGTTTCAGCCTTGTCTGATACATGTAACCAATTACAGAAAAAGGTTCTTGAGAAGTTCTGTAAATCTACTGGTATAGTTAATCTTAAAAAGACTAAGATTCTTTCAACATATGTTATATTTGGGATTACACTTTCTTAGTAAAGTACAAATTCTCGTACTTTTTGGACTGAGTCCCATCTGGGATTCGAACCCACACCCTCAGAGTGAGGCACCAAAGGGTGTGGGTTCGAATCCCGGATGGGACTCAATCCAAAAAGTATTTGTACTTTACTAAGAAAGTGCAATCCCAAATATAACATATGTTGCATTTGACCACTTTCTGAAATAGCATTGTGTAATCACTGAGATTCTTGTTTTTAGAAATGGTGGGCCTCTAAGAGATTATGAAAAATGGTATTATGATGGTAAACAAATTGAATCTGTATCTTTTTATAAATATTTAGGACTTGTATTTACACCAAAACTTGTATGGAGTAAAGCCCAAACATGTCTTGTTTCTCAGGCCAATAAGGCATTATTTTCTGTAAATACCTTTCAGAGAAAAATGGGTAGTGTCATTTGTAAAGATTTGTTTAATATATTTGATTGTATGATCTCACCTATATTATGTTATTGAGTTGAAGTTTGGGGCACAAGTTATTGTAAACTCATAGAGTCTGTACAAATTACATTTTGTAAGTATTTTTTAAAAGTCGGTAAATCAACTTGTAATAATGTGGTACTTGGTGAATGTGGTAGACTCCCTTTACAATTGTATATATGACTAAGGTTATCTAATATTGGTGTCATTTATTGTACTTACCGCCAAATAGACTCCCAAAACACAATTATCAAATGCTAAAATCATTACATAATGTTGGACGTGTGACTTGGTTTTGGCTATGCATTGTTCAGTCAGGATATTCGAAAAGTTAAGTATTTCATGTTTCTTTTTAAACAAAGACTGACTGATAATTTAAAGCAATCCTGGTATACCTACATTGACAGTTCACACAAAACTATTTATTATTGTCAGTATAGAAACCTATTATATGTAGTAAAATACTTGAATTGTAACATTTGTTTAAATTTGAGATCTGCCCTTTCAAAATTGAGATGTGGAAATTTTAACTTAGCAATAGAGACTGGGAGATATGAAACTATTGCTTCTAATGAAAGATTTTGTTTATTTTGTAAATCAAAAGGTATTAATGTTGTTGAAGATGAGTGGCATATTTTGTGTATCTGTGAATGTTTTTCTGATGTTTGAGATAAATATATTGTGAAATATTTTAGTCAACCTCCTACAACAAAAAACTTTATAAGTATTATGCAATCTAGTAATGTTGATGTGATTAAGAATGTTAGTCTATATTTATATAATGTACAAATTAGAATTAAGAGCAGAGCTTGTTTATACCTCTATTTGTACCATTTATGTGATGTGTGACCATGCATCTGTCTGTATTATGGGCCAGTGGCCTTTTACTGAATAAAACTGTCTGTCTGTCTGTCTGAATATTCGAAGATTGACCTTCAAATTAAGTCACTTTATTTCAAGCAATAATGAAAAGTCCAACTTCGAGTTAGGCTAAATATAATAGGTTGGAGGAGAACAGTTTAATTGTGAAAAGCATTGTTTTGACTAGTCGCCATACCTTGTCACAAACCTAAGACTCTGTAACACGGACGTACGACAGTTGTAGCACTGCGATAGCTTTATGTAACGGGACCCAGAGTTTGGTATATCGCCGCGTATAAAGAGGCCATACGTATAAGGCGGTCCCGCAATACAAACCTTCAAAATCAGTGATAATTTATACACCCGTCTATAACGCGACCCTGAATGAACAATATCATCAGCGCATACATCCCTATATTTGTAATAAACACGTGTTTGTGTCCCGATGTTTTTTACGATGCTTGTTGGAACTCAAAAATGCAGAAGCAAAAGAATTTGTTCATTCATGCACTGAAGACCGTCAGTGTCTATTTCCTGTAATTCAATCGCCAGTTATCCATGTTTCGATTAAGTATTGTTAGATATGGTAGCTATCTTCAGATACAGAATACCTCGCACAATAGTTATCTTTTAGTACAGTATACTTACTGGCTTGTTACTCGCAGGGATCTCGTCCAGAGCAAACACCATAGCTGCCCCCAGGTCTTCCAAGTCACTTGCTTCAATGCTGTATAGAAACGATGGAATGATTTTACAACAGCTAAACCTCCCCAGCAGGGGCGGATACAGCTTTTTAAGATAGGGGGTAGCACACTCTGTGCGTGTGTGCGTGCGTGCGTGCGTGCGTGCGTGCTCGACTTCATTTTCACTACAGTTTCAATGTTCATTTAATACACTTTCACCACTGCACCCCCATCTGGATCCGCCTATGTCCCAGGTTAACATTTACCATCATAAGAACTAAGCAGTTGAGAAAATATTTAGTCGATACCCATAGAGTATGTTGCATAGTGGAAGGGTCCTGGGATTTGTGTTACGAGGTAATTGTTCTGTGAAAACAGAAAAGAACTTTTTTCACTTTCATTTATGCTATGACATCCATCATTGTCCAGCCTTTTCTTTATAGTCCAAGGTCATATTTTTTCCAACTGTTTTTACGCAACATATTTTAACTGTTTAAAAAATCACTCACAACTACAGAATAACAAACTGTTATTATGAGGCGAAGACTTTTCTTTTAAGCACATTTTCTAATTTTGTGTGTTATCTCATGTTTTGCGAAAAAGGGGTCGTTGTCGGCACGGGTACTACAGCTACGTACGTTACTGTATACACAATCAGACTAAAGAAACGTAACCTAGCTAAAACCAGACTACAGAAACGTACCCTCGGACGAATCCATTCTGCACTGTTTTCTAGATCCGAAGTGTCGTACTGTTGTATGAGATGCATTCGATTGCGTTATATAAGGAAAACGAGCATTCGAAGTGACGAATAATTCCTTGCTGCACAGAATCACTCGTTATCAAGCGAAACTGAAGGATAACATGAACTAGCTTCGATTTGGGGCGGTGTAATATGGACTCGTCTGACGTTTAGGGTACCTGTTACGTTTATGTATTTTGACTTTGTTTGGGGTACATTTCTGAATATAGAAACGTGCCTGGCGTACACATCTGTAGTACTGTGGCGACAACGACCCCTGCAGGCTTGTAAAGATATATAGGTGAGCGGTGATTAACCTAGGTATAGAATGAATGAGTTTAGTTTTACCCCGCACTCAGCAATATTCCAGCTATATGGCGGCGGTCTGTAAATAATCGAGTCTGTACCAGTGATCAACAGCATGAGCATCGATTTACGCAATTGGGATACGATGAAATGTGTCAACCAAGTCTGCGAGTCTGACCACCCGATCTCGTAAGTCGCCTCTTACAACAAGCATGGGTTACTGAATCTTCACGGGTACTTGGTAAAGATCACTGGCCAATACCTGATATCGCCATAAACAGTTCCTAAAGCATGGCAATCACTCCGAAATTATCACTGGTTCTTACCTGGAGACTGCAGCCAGGAGCTTCTTGACGATGGCCTTCTTTGTGGAGACCTCCAACTGGGGACACTGAAGGAAGTACATGCCGTATTTCTTGAGCGTCTGGGTGGTCATCTTGTTGACGTCACCAGCGTTCATGCCGCACATGGCGAAGGGGCCGACGAGGTCGATGTCGTCAGGAGCAAAGGACGTTTTCTGTGTTTCCTGCGTAAGGAAGTCAGAGCTTTGGTTTAACGAAAGAAGTCTAAAATGATAGATTTAGACTTTAAAATGTCGTTTCTGTTGGGTAGCATAGTGGTTAAGGCGTTCGCTCGTCACGCTGAAGACCCGGGTTCGATTCTCCACATGGGCACATTGTGTGAAGCCCATTTCTGGTGTCCCCCGCCGTGATATTGCTGGAATATTGCTAAAAGCGGCCTAAAACCATACTCACTCATTCTGTCTGCTATAATGCAAATACTTATTGCATATGTTTAAACATTCCGCGTTAATATCCACATACTATGATGAACTATCTGTAGTGGGGTGTATTTGTGATATCCTTTTATGTGAGTCCAATATGTCCAAGGTTATCCTCTTGTGGAAGTTGTGCATTTAAATATAGTTAATCAAACACACCCATGCTTTTGTTTTATTTCATTAAAGATTACTAAAAGACATAGCTGATATAACTAGTTTTCAGTCTTAAAACCAGCAATGGACATGCTCATCACATTTGTGGCAATTCATATACATAAGTAACATTTGTACCTACATGGTAGTTACGTCCGAATGTTGGGTTTTGTCATTACAAGTAGAACGTTACACGTGTATTTCTTGGCCAGATTATTGTCCAATATTTGATTCAGTGTTAACGTAACAGTCTGTGGTTATTAATTCTGTATTTTCATGAGTGAGTGAGTGAGTAAAGATCGGCAATATTTCAGCCATATCGTGACTAAAACTAGTTCTAAATTCATAATACATACATATAATATATAAAACCCTGTCAGCAAAGGACAGTAAAACCACTAGATTATCACAGATGTATTTTCATGACTTGTTTCAAGACCCAAACACACTAAGACATGCAATGTACGTCCTGGAAATAGACGTTATGAAATCATACCAAACTATATTAGGCTCAAATACAAAGGATTTAACTTCAAGATGCCAATGGGCTTAAATACAGAAGGATACTGGTTCTAATAACTGGTGATAACAACTGTACATTCCAGCTGTGTTTGGAAGACAGCAATCCCGGTTACCTTCATATGTGTCGTCTTTAGTAATATCTAAGACAAAACATTAAAACAGCGAGTGAGTTTAGGTTTACGCCGCACTCAGCAATATTCCACATATATGGCGGGGGTCTGTAAATAACTCACTCCCTCACAGTCGTTTCTGGATTGGTCTGGCTTATTTACCTGAACTGTGAGTGCAATCTTGGTCAGCAGTTTCATCCGAGATCGGGTGAGCTTCTCGATATATTCTTTCTTCATTCCAACAACCCGCATCACTGATCGCAAAGTCTTCCGGCTGAACTTGACCAAGTCCTTTCCGCTAGGATAAAGATACAAATATCAAACTAAAAGCGACAAAACCAGTCATAGGAAACCCGTTGTAAGCTTCCTGCTGTTTCATAGACTCCTGTTTATGAAAGACAAGCACTGGTGGTACCTAGTGTACGCGAAAACAACCATCCTGCCTCACTGGTGGTACCTAGTGCACGCGAAAACAACCATCCTGCCTCACTGGTGGCACTGCATTTGAAGCTCTCGAGTGCAGCGTGAGTGAGTGAGTTTAGGTTTACTCCGCACTCAGCCATATTCCAGCTAAATGGCGACGGTCTGTAAATAATCGAGTCTGGATCAAGCAATTCAGTGATCAACAGCATGAGCATCAATCTACGCAGTTGGGATACCATGACATGTGTCAACCAAGTCAGCGAGTCTGACCCAGCGAGCCTCTTACGACAAGCATGGGTTACTGAAGATCAATTATAACCCGGATCTTCATGGGTCCTCTCGAGTGCAGATAACACCATAGCAAATAAAACAACATCACAATACAATATTACACTTTGAACACGTCTGATTATTGCTTAACGCCGTACAGCTAAATGGTGGCGCTCTGCAAATATCGAGTCTGGACTAAACAATCCAGTGACAGACATCATGAGCATCGATCTGCGCAACTGGGATACAATGACATGTATCAACCAAGTCAACTAGTCTGAGCACCCGCTCCAGTATGCCTTGGTTTCCTTGAAACAAAGAACCAATATGGTGCCATGCGATTAATGGATTCTGTTTAATATATTACGTCGGGTGGTATCTGACCCACCTTGCGTGTGCGAGGAACATTCCGACCTGGTCGATAAGAGGGCCGTCGATACATATGTCCTTCACATTCCCAGTGGCGCCAAAGACTCGTAGCAGCTTCTTCACTATACCCCGGATCTGGAAGACATGTTCTACATTCACCTGTCTGAATGGCAACAGCTCTCTACCTAATGTACACACAGCTCTACCTGTTGTACGGACAACTCAAACTGTCGTACTCGCCACTCTATCTGTTGTAGTTGAACTCTACGGAATTTACACACAGCTCTCCTTTTTGTATTGACCATTCAAACTGTTGTACTCACCACTCTATCTGTTGTAATCGCTCTCTACCTAATGGACACAGCTCTACCTGTTGTACTCACCACTCATTCTGTTGTACTCGCCCCTCTACCTGTTGTAATCGCTCTCTACATAATGGACACACAGCTCTTCTCCTTGTACTCACCACTCATTCTGTTGTACTCACCGCTCTATCTGTTGTACTCGCTCTCTACATAATGGACACACAGCTCTTCCCCTTGTACTCACCACTCATTCTGTTGTACTCACCGCTCTATCTGTTGTACTCGCTCTCTACATAATGGACACACAGCTCTTCCCCTTGTACCCACCACTCATTCTATTGTACTCACCACTCATTCTGTTGTACTCACCACTCATTCTGTTGTACTTGCCGCTCTGCGTCTTGTACCCACCACTCAACCTGTCGCCTCACCACCCTACCATTTGTTTTCGCCTTTCTACCTGACGTTCTCACCGCTCTACCTGTCGTTTTCTCCCCTGTACCTGTTAATTTCGCTCGTCTATCTGTTGTTCCCACCACCCTACCTGTTTTACTCACCACTCTACCAGACAACTTCTTGATGTGTTTATCTGCCTTGGCGATATTCTCCAAGAGATTCTCATCTTCACAAAGGTTCTCCCACTCCGCATCGCTGGCTGCAGAAACGAAGAGGTCAGCAATCTTCTCAAACTGCGACCCGCAATAGTTCATATTGGTGCGATTCACGTTTCCGAGTCTATTCTTCACCTTCTCCCAAACAGCATTAGCCTGAAACAATCGTCAGTAGAATACTCAAGATCATGAAATGGTATGAACCTTGGCCGCTAGAGGAGGCGTTCATGAGAATAAAATGGGGTGGAATGAGCTTTTTAATATATGCGTCCTATATTCTCTAGCTTATCAAGAGAGAAGAAGTCATAGCAAACACTAGTATTGGACTCGATAGGATTATATGTGTCATTCCATGCTTTATTTAGACATGTTCGAGAAATTTCCAATTTTTTTCAATATATTATTATAATTTTTAACCCCTTGTTTGTGGTTCAGCATTTTAGGTCTTCAAAATGACTAAACTAACGGGCAAAAGAAACGATGCCAAGTCGAAATCACTGATATTACATAACGACAATCCACCATTGTGAAAAAGGAAAGTGAATTTTGATAACAGGTGTTTGAGCAACATGACAGTTCACTTCCCTTTTTCACAATTGTAAATTGTCGTTATGTAATATTAAGGTTTTCGAATTGGTATCGTTTCTTTAGCCCGTTAGTTCACAATGTGATGTAACGTAGTGGCCTTGAAGGCGTTAAAGTTGACACTGTACCTAGAGCGATGGTTCAGGTACTCTCGGCCACACTACTTACCGTTTCTTCGGAGACATGTTCAAGACCACAGTACTTTTCTGCAGAGAATTGGGTGGATTGAAATATTTCAAGGTCACACTAATTGCCATTCTAGGAAATAGGGGAACAATGGCTCTCAAGACCACATAACTTACCGTTTCTTCGGAGACATGTTCAAGACCAAGGTACATTTCTGCAGAGAATTGGGTGGATTGACATTTTTCAAGGTCACACTAATTGCCGTTCTAGGAAATAGGGGAACAATGGTTCTCAAGACCACAGAACTTACCGATTCTTTGGAGAATGTTAGGGTTTTAAGGTTGTCAAAGCCACCAAGAGACGTGATATCAACACCGGAAAGGTCACGGACACTCCTTCCAAGATTAGGTCCGACCTGCTGGATGTACGTTCCGATCGCCTCGTTGTTTGCAACAGCGTGATCCACCACCTTAAACAACATACAGTGATTGACATGTCCAGCTATAGATTATAAGATTGTGTTTCAGCCCAAAACGGAACAAATGTTTTAGGCACTAAACACACAATTCTTCCTGAAATTTCATGCACAAACATTCGCAGACAACGATAAGATTATTATTATCCATTGGCTACAAGCAAACAAAACGTAAACTAACGGCAAAAGAAACGATACCAAGTCGAAATCAATGATACTACAAAACGACAAACCACCATTGTGAAAAGGGGAAGTGAATTTTAATAACAGGTGTATTGCAATCTTGCACATGCATGCTGTCCATACACCTGTTATTAAAATTCACTATCCTTCTTCACAATGGTGGTTTGCCGTTTTGTAATATCAGTGATTTCAACTTGGATTCGTTTCTTTTGCCCGTTAGTTTATTTGAAATGTATTAGTACAGTACCTGAATTACACGGCTAGAAAATAAAGTTCTTTACTTTAACAAACTCTGAGACAGTATATTACCATTTCTTCGCTGTGCAGAGTTGCGTCCCTTTGGCAGATTAGAAACCTCTGAATGTAGGTTCGAATCCCAGTTCGATCCATTATATATCTAGGTATCGTCAGCATCAATCTTGTGTCTAAGTTGCACGTAAACGTATATGAACAGCTACATTTTGGGCTTTTCTCCCACATTAAGCTGACAAGTCGAGGTGGTTCTAGAATAATGCTCCAAGTTCCGTCACACCCAACTCACTCACTCACAGCTCCTATATTTCAACCACAAAACTACCTTCTTCATGATGAGTCGGCACAGGCCTCGCCGTCGGACACAAACAGGCTCCAAGTAAGTTGTCATGTTCTGAATACATTCTGCTACGACAGCATTTGGTATTTGTTCAACGTAGGATTTGGGAATGACCTTGACGAGGACTCCAGCGTCTACGATTTCTGCGCAGGTGTAGGTGGTGGGCTGCCGGAAGAGGAAGTGACGTCATTGAAAATGGTTTATCAGGTCGACCGGAGTATGAGCATATAGGTTTAATTTGATGACTTGAGAAGACGTTATGGCGTAATTTGTTCTTGTTTTGCTGCCTTCATCTTAGAATACTTACGCTCGCGAATGTTGATTTGCAAATGTCCCATATATAAGCCAGCTGAAAGATAATTCGTTGTGGGAATTAGTTGTAACATATTCGGTAAGGTGGATAAACGTATGACTTTGAGTTATAAAAGAATAAAGAAGCGGACAGGTGACAAAATGACACTCTTCTATATATCTGAAGCACTGGTTAAAGAGATGTTTGATTGTATTATGTTTTACGCCGCAGTCAGCAATATTCCAGCTATATGGCGGCGGTTTGTAAATAACCGAGTCTGGACCAGACAATCCAGTTATCAACAGCATTAGCATCGATCAACGCAATTGGGATACGATAACATGTGTAAACAGTCAGTGAGCCTGACCAGGCGATCCCGTTAGTCGCCTCTTACAAGCATGGACTTCTGAAGACCATTTCTAACCTAGGCTGTCACGGATGATTAGAGCGATGATAAATGGAACTCGATCACAATTGGCTAAGGAATGGGGCGTAGCTGATGAGGGATTTCACTGTTGGACATCGCATTGCAATACCTTTCCCCTTGGTACGTCTGCCTTGTTGATCGTCTGCCAGTTGTTACAGAGGATGTTGGTGGGAATGTTCTTGAGGACATTGTTAGGGAAGCCGCCAATGAAGCGCCCATAGTCCATAATAGCTTGCTGATCCCACGTAAAGCCGACAGCAGTAACGATGCGCTTCAGAAGTCGTTTGACCTGTTGGTGAGATTGGCTTTATAAAAGAACATTCGAGTACTCTTTTTATTTAATTAGTTTATTTCACGGAATATGGAGGGAAGCTCATTGCGTTCACGACAATCAACTCAATCTATTTACATGATGTCATTTTCTTACATCTTTGGGGGAAATCTCGAAATCTGCCGGACAGTTTGTTTGGATGTTCTTCACAAAGTCCTTAAGATCAGCTTCGCTCAAGGTCTTGTCAATCAGTTTCCTGAACGGGGCAAACTTCACTACCACACAGATCAACCTGGGGAAAGAAGATTTCGATATGTCACTGATGACTGTTTTATCGATGTTGGTCTTATTAGAAAAGAAGGGAGCATTTAGCCCATCCGTTTAAGTCGCGGTAATTTGCAGAACAGTGTTGCGTCCGTTGAGCGTGTTAGGCTGAAAAGAATGTACGTGACACCCAGAATAAGTTGCCAGCATATTACCAAGCCGCCAAGGAGCACCATCACATCAAGTTCTCCCTCCCACACCAAGATACACGAATCATGGCTGAAATACCGTTAACTGAGTGAGTGAGTATTGTTTTATGCCGCTTTTAGCACCATTCCAGCAGTATCACGAGACGCACACCAGAAATGGTCTTCATGTACCCATGTATTGAATCGAACCCGGGTCTACAACACACCAATACATTATTACCATGGAAGGTACCAAAGATGCTAATATCAGCCATATGTAAAAAAACTTGGCTGACGAGGAAGTTTGAAATGGCACGACCGTATTACAATAGTGCAATGGTTCGTTGTGGTATGTTGTCTAAGGATGGATTGTTTCTGTGGTAGTAAGAAAGGTCGTATTTGTCAACTGACTGGAACTAGTATGTAAAAAAGCATGAAACTGTTCGACGAGTCCCCCTATTTAATACAAAGAGTAAAGCTAAAGCAACCCTCGTTAGAGCATGCCTCTAAAACTAAACTGTTCGTTTGTTGTTTTATGCCGCACTCAGCAATATTCCAGCCATATGGCGGCGGTCTGTAAATGATCGAGTCTGGGCCAGACAACCCAGTGATAAACAGTATGAGCATCGATCTTTGCAACTGGGATACGATGACATGTGTCAACCCAGTCAGCGAGCCTGACCACCCGATCCCGTAAGTCGCCTCTTACGTAAGCATGGGTAACTGAAGACCAGTTCTAACCTGGGTAAACTCTAACCTGAAAACCGCAAACTAGTAGTTCACACTATACAAATACAAATGAGTGAGAGAATCACACCAAGCAACAAGGTTAGTGAAAACAAAGTAGTTACATTTTGAAGGCTCAACCCACGTCACAGATGATGACGTAGCAGGCACAGATAGGAAGGTGGGTGAAGCGTAGTCGGTGTTCTTATACGCAATACGCACAGACATTGTTTCTGGAATACCGCTAAAAGCGGCGTGAACCTATGCTCACTCATTCCCCTCTATACAATAAAGTCACCTTGAAACCACATGGCAGTGAATAACAACTATGTCCTCCACTTGTAACGTAAACACCATGTGGCATGATGAACAGAACGTAAGATACCTGAGGAAGACTTCTCTCGACTCCCTTCTTCAATCGGTGCCTGAGCAATATCTTGTCTTGTGAATAGCAGAACTTATCATTCCCTGATCCGGCTTCCCACAAATGACCCATGACGGTGGCCTTTTGTGGAAAACAATTGTTATATTAAGCAGCGATTCCTTTATGGTATCTTTTCCTTTTCCCCATCACTTAATTTTTTTTCTTACTTAGATTTCTGAGTTGCTGTTAGTGATCCCGAATTGGTTGCCCACCAGTCGCTGATCTTGTAACCAAGGATACGCAGTAACCTGGTTTCTTTCACATCGTCTACGCCAATAAACGTGTCGAGGTTCGCGAACAGCTGAAAGATGACAATTCGGCGTGAAGGACAAGGTGACTGACCCTGGTCATTGTGGGGTATCTAGGACAGGGTGAACTAGGACTTTGTGTCAACTGTGGGGTGACTAGAACAGGGTGAACTAGGACTGTGAGTCAACTGTGGGTTGTCTAGGACAGGGTGAACTAGGACTTTGTGTCAACTGTGGGGTGTCTAGAACAGGGTGAACTAGGACTGTGTGTCAACTGTGGGGTGTCTAGAACAGGGTGAACTAGGACTGTGTATCAACTGTGGGGTGTCTAGGACAGGGTGAACTAGGACTTTGTGTCAACTGTGGGGTGTCTAGAACAGGGTGAACTAGGACTGTGTGTCAACTGTGGGGTGTCTAGGACAGGGTGAACTAGGACTGTCTGTCAACTGTTGGGTATCTAGGACAGGGTGAAATAGGACTGTGTCAACTGTGGGGTGTCTAGGAGAGGGTGAAATAGGACTGTGTGTCAACTGTGGGGTATCTAGGACAGGGTGAACTAGGACTGTGTCAACTGTGGGGTGTCTAGGACAGGGTGAACTGGGACTGTATGTCAACTGTGGGGTGTCTAGGACAGGGTGAACTAGGACTGTGTGTCAACTGTGGGGTGTCTAGGAGAGGGTGAAATAGGACTGTGTGTCAACTGTGGGGTGTCTAGGAGAGGGTGAAATAGGACTGTGTGTCAACTGTGGGGTGTCTAGGACAGAGTGAACTAAGACTGTGTGTCAACTGTGGGGTATCTAGGACAGGGTGAAATAGGACTGTGTGTCAACTTAGGGGTAGCTAGAACAGGGTGAACTAGGACTGTGTCAACTGTGGGGTATCTAGGAGAGGGTGAACTAGGACTGTGTCAACTGTGGGTATCTTTTATGCTGATGACTCCCAATTGGTGGATAGCTTTAAACCAAGTCCAGACAGTCAGCAGAAGGCCAAGGATAACATGGAGTCGTGTCTCAATGATGTCAAGTCATGGATGACAAACAACAAACTGGTCTTAAACGATAGTAAAACAGAAGCCATCATTATTGCCCCACGTCAAAGACAGCAGAAGTGTCAGCTTTCTTCCATTTCCATTGGACAATCCTCAATCCCTTTCTCTCCCTCTGTAAGAAATCTTGGAGTTTATTTGGACTCAAATTTGTCTATGAAAAGTCATATCAACCACCTATGCAAAATATGTCACTTCCATCTCCGAAATATTGGTTCCATACGCAACATCTTAACCATGGAAGCAACGGCCACCCTCGTTCGATCTCTAGTTCTATCACGCTTGGACTACTGTAATAGTTTACTAATTGGTATCTCTGATGAACAATTACAGCGCCTCCAGAAAATACAGAATCAGGCTGCTCGCATCGTCACAAGGACAAAGCTATGTTCTCATATTACGCCAGCTCTCAATTCTCTTCACTGGCTCCGGATCCGCGAGAGGATTGAATTTAAACTGCTCTCCCTTGTTTATCAGTCTGTTTATAGCATTGGTCCAGCATACCTCCATGATTTAATAACACTGTACAAACCTGAAAGATCTCTCCGCTCCAGCGATCAACTCTTGCTAGTTGTTCCTGTGTGCAAACTTAAAACCTTTGGTGCAAATTCATTTTCTCATGCTGCTGCCACTCTCTGGAACTCTCTACCATCGGATCTTAAAACCTCTCCATCACTCCGAGTCTTTAAGTCCAAGCTCAAAACTCACCTCTTCAAGAAATATCTATGACGTCAACTTTCCTGTACATAGAACCTGTAGATATGTTATGCGCTTAGAGCATGTCCCTGGGTGATGTGGATGAGGCGCTATAAAAGTACTATTATTATTATTATTATCATTATTATTATCTAGGACAAGGTGAACTAGGACTGTGTCAACTGTGGGGTATCTAGGACAGAGTGAACTAGGACTGTGTCGACTTTGTAGTGTGAAGGACAGTGAACCAGATCTCTGTGTCACTCGTGGGGTGTGAAGAGCAAAGTAAAAAACACGGTCTATACGTCAGCTTAACGGTGTGAAGCGCAGAATGAACATTCTCCAAATAAGGAAGGCATGTGTCCATATCCAACATCATACTGAGAAATGGTTCATTGCCATTCACACTGAAACATAACGATAAGACCTTTTGAAGTATTACTTCAATTGAAGTTTCTGGCGATAAAAGAAACTATACAAATAATCAATGTCAGAGCTACATTTCCTATTTTAGGATTTCTACCTGAGTAACTGTCATAGTGTCGATATCGTCCCGGGGCATATTGACCACATAGTTGGCGAAATCTGTCAACTGCTGTGTTGTCCACTGGGACAGTTGACCGTAACATGCCTTGAGCCTCTGACCTATCTTCCTCCGGACCCCAGGCATCAGCTTACTGTAGAGCCTCATGTCCTTCAGACGTTCCTGTTGTGTGCTGCATTCATAAAGTAACGTATAGCGTGACAGAGTAACACACTTTTAACTCCGGATGTATCGAAATGTAGAGAACACAATCACATACAGGTGACATCTAACTGTAGTTGACATAATGACATAAACACCTGGACAAAAGTTAAGCAACACCCCATATTTTTCTGAGTGATCACTTTTGAGATTGTTGGAAATTTCCATGGGTGTTATAAACAAACAAACGTGTGTTTTTTATAGCAGATGACAAAAGCAAGCTATGACAAACTGATTTTTACTGATTTCAAGTGCGTACACTAAAAAAATGAAACTTTGCTGAATGGTACATTTCATCAGAAAAATTAACATGATAAAACTATCCTCAATGCGGATAATTTAGGCAAGGCACTGACCATATTAGGTGTCAGAAATGTTTTTGTCCATTTGCAAGTTATTCTGAGCAAGGAAAACTTAATATCGTGTGTAGGATCCACGGACATTGATGGCTGCTTGGAACCTCCGTCTCATACTCTGTACAACTCTTTCAATGCGTCTCTGGGGCAACCTGTTCCATTCTGCATGAAGTGCTGCTTCCAGCTGAGCCAGATTCTGTACTAGGGGATCACGGTTCCTGATTGTCCTACCCAAAATGTCCCAAACGTGCTCGATTGGGTTCAGATCCGGGCTACACGCTGGCCAAGGCAAGGTGGGGATATGTGGCTTCTTGTCTCAATAACTCGGTTACTGCTCTGGCTCTGTGTGGTCTCGCATTGTCGTCCATGTTGACAGGTCTTGTGCACTGAGGGTGGTTATCGAAATGAGGGATAACAACTGGACGTAAGATAGCAGCCTGATATTGTTGACCATTAAGGTTCCCTCTGACTGTCATAAGAGGCAATTTGCAGTCGTAGGATACACAACCCCAGATCATGACTGATCCCCCTCCACATGCTAGAGTTGTCTGGATGTTTTTAGCGGCAAATCTTGCGTTTTGTTGTCTCCTGACACGCACTCTACCATCTACCATCCGCAAAAGTACCCTGCACTCATCTGACCAGTGGATCCGTCTCCAGTGCACCAAATTCCAGTTGGATCGGACACGACACCTCGTCAATCGTTCACGCATGTGCCGACGAGTTAGTTAAGGCCGTTTTTGGTCTTCTGGCAATGAAACCTGCTGCTCTGAGGCGCCGTCCAACAGTCCTTGTAGAGAGTCTCTCAGATTAGTGTACCACTGGTCTCTCAATTGTGTCGAAATTGCGAAGGGGTTTCGTCTAACGATCCTCAAAGGTCTTCTGTCCTCTCTTACAGATGTCATTTTTGGTCTGCCAGATCTTGGGCGATCCCTCACATCATTCGTTTGTCAATGTTTGTCAATTAAACGGCTTATATCAAGTGGTGACGACCTGTTCTTCTACCAATAGCTTTCAAGGACATTCCGCTGTCTCTAAGTCCAATAATCTGCCATCGTTCGGCAGTAGACAGGCGACATCTTGCCATGACAAAGTTTCAGTTACTTTTGATCTCAGAACACCGAGTACACTGCGATCGAAGTTCCCGACTTTAAAGTGGACTTTTCACTTTTAACGGGTGTCAGTGAACGAAGTTCAGCAAATGCACCTTTGCCATGCTTGATCATCTCTATCCTGCGATAATAAATCTACGAAAGACCATTGTTGCCAAAATCACATATTTTTGCAACGAAATCCGTCATATTAACGAAATAATGACATATGAACTTGGTGTTGCTTAACTTTTGTCCAGGTGTATATATTGACATGAAGTCGCATGGTAACACACATTTCACTCCGGGTGTATCGAACTGTAGTTGACTTAATGGCATAGTTAACTCTAATATATCGAACTGAAGTCACAAAGTAAAACCTCATTCACTCCGGGTGTATCGAACTTCAGTTGACTTAATGACATAGTTAACTCTAATATATCAAACTGAAATCACAAAGTAAAACTTCATTCACTCCGGATTTATCGATCTGTAGTTGACTTAATGACATAGTTAACTCTAATATATCGAACTGAAGTCACAAAGTAAAACCTCATTCACTCCGGGTGTATCGAACTGTAGTTGACTTAATGACATAGTTAACTCTAATATATCGAACTGAAGTCACAAAGTAAAACCTCATTCACTCCGGGTGTATCGAACTGTAGTTGACTTAATGACATAGTTAACTTTTAATATATCGAACTGAAGTCACAAAGTAAAACCTCATTCACTCCGGATGTATCGAACTGTAGTTGACTTAATGACATAGTTAACTCTAATATATCAAACTGAAGTCACAAAGTAAAACCTCATTCACTCCCGATGTATCGAACTGTAGTTGACTTAATGTCATAGTTAACTCTAATATATCGAACTGAAGTCACAAAGTAAAACCTCACTCACTCAAGATGTATCGACACACACCGGATATATCGTACTAAAGGGGCCGAATCAGATTGTCAACTTCATAATTAGGTGACAATAACATTTTCAATTTTAAAATTTCACTTTTTGAAGAAAACTTATGAGACTTATCAGACGTTGACAAGAAGATGGTCGTCCCACGAGTCCCTAAAATACCAAATGATATTAAGGGAAAACAAATTGATCCAATTACAATCATTCATTTGAAGGTTACCATTGCTCTCTATAGGAACTTACACATTACAGAAATTGTCGTCGGCGATCCTGTCGATGTCCCTGACTGTGACGACGTGGGGGCACCACGTCATGTAGTAGACGTCCCAGCCGTTGGCTTGGTGCTGCACTACCTTCTGCATGTACGCCCGACACTTGGAGTCGGACAGTCTGCCGATGATCTGGGAATAGTAGCACATGAGTGAGTGAATTGGATTTTACGCCGCTTTTAGCAATATTCCAGCAATATCACGGCGGGGAACACCAGAAGTGGGCTTCACACGTTGTGCTCATGTGGGGAATCGAACCCGGGTCTTTGGGGAGACAAGCGAACGTGTTAACCACTAGGCTACCCCACCGGGGAATCGAACCCGGGTCTTTGGGGAGACAAGCGAACGTGTTAACAACTAGGCTACCCCACCGGGGAATCGAACCCGGGTCTTTGGGGAGACGAGCGAACGTGTTAACCACTAGGCTACCCCACCGCCCAATAGCACATGAAGTTGTGGAAGAAACCATCAACAACAAATATGGGTAGGTGAGGATGTAATGTTTTTAAAATTTAATTAAGATACAGGTTTGAATGAGCTTTCGTGACCAGGACTCGGATATTGTTCATGTGGAACATAATGTTGCCTCTGACTTTATTAGGAAAGCAATTTCGCTGGACATGCATTTATCATATTGAACCTAGCTGGTAAATACACCTACAAATGCTACTAGCACAAGTTAAGAACCGATTCCGTTATATTGTTAGAGTCGAGATGTGTAACAGATTAACTATAGCATGAACGAATTCGGGGGGTATTTTAGTAGTACATTATATTCGCATGTAATGAATATCTGAACAAGCCTGTGCACGAAGCAATTACGTTAATGGGAGGAGGATGTAGGTTTACTTCCATTACACTAACCACTGATATGAATGCATGAACACAACACGTGTTATATTTGGGATTACACTTTCTCAGTAAAGTACAGATTCTAGTACATCTGTTGGGTTGAGTCTCATCCGGGATTTGAACCCGTACTCTCAGTGTCAGGCACCTAATCGCCAACAGAGTTAGCTATCTAACCCACTGAGAAACCGCTGCGTTCTGCTCTTCTGCAAGAAACAGACATACCCTGTCGTCAAAGCGGTTCTTTACTCCGAAGGCAACGCAGTCGCCACATCGATTGATGGTGGCCAACATGGAGGCTGTTGACACTTGATCCTCCAGAAACCTTTCGCAGTATGTTCCCAGCGCCGTCTCGTTGAGTTTGCCAAACACAAAGCAGTGAGCTGTTTTCTGAAACGGATGAAGTGAACAAATACCAAAGGTCAATATTTATGGATGTCAAGTTCTTCATTCATAAATGTTCTCCTTTCGTGTGTATCACTTCTAAATGCGGTACGAAGGCTTTAAGAACATCAACAGATGGCGATATCAAAATGTTCCTGTTCAGGGTGAGTGAGTGAGTGTGGTTTCAAGCTGCTTTTGGAATATTCCCGCAATATCATGGCGGGGGACACCAGTAATGGGCTTCACACATTGTACCCTTGTGGGGACTCGAACCAGTGTCTGCGGCGTGACGAGCGAACGCTTTATCCACCAGGCTACTACCCAACCCCCAACACCTAACCCCCAACCCATATACAGACATAACCCATCTACCTAATTGTTAGTTCATTGTGGCAGTTAATAAGTACCGAAAATGAGGGCTAGGTGTATTTTACAATGTTGCACCCACCACATTGAGGGCGAATGTAACGAAGGCCCTATGTTCCTGGGACACGTGATCCAATACAAAGACAATGCGCCATCAACCATCAACACCAAACGTACAGTCGGATCCGTATTTCTAGAACATCCGTAAGATTGCACCACCTACCGTTAACACCAGATGTACAGACGGGTCCCATGTTTGGAGAGCGCTCAGCAGCTCAACGTACGGAATCTGATCCCACTGCTGCACGATGTTTACGTAAAGGGTTTTACCGGTTGAATCCAGGGTGGAGTTGAGGAACATCAAAGTCTCCCTCGCCTCATCAGCGGTAAACGGAGACCAGTCATGATCTGTGTGTGGTGTGAGCAACATTGGTTTAGTGTCAATATGTTCTGTTATAAATTGGCGATTTTCTACCACCCTCAGTGACTTACTAAAAGGTGATGCATACTTTTAACCCCTGCAGGTATGACATACCCGCACTGGCTTCATATCTAATTTGCAATCGTTTATTTCTTCAGCAGAACCAAAGTGATGCATTTTGCTCCATGTTTTATCCTATTATTCCGTTTTGAATGTTTACTCATGCAATGACTGAGTGAGTCTGGTTTTACGCCGCTTTTAGCAAAATTCCAGCAATATCATGGCAGGGGACACAAGAAATGGGCTTCACACATTTCACCCATGTGGGGAATCGAACCTGTTGTCTTTGGCGTGACGAGCCAACGCTTTAACCACTAGGATGTTACTACAACGACCCTCATGTAAGGACCATATTTGGCTGATTTGGGGGTTTATTCCACAAGTCACTATTAAAACAAAACATCAAACTATTACTCTTCCCGAATCGAATTACATATTTGGGAATAATATGGACTCACTCGCGCTCTGCCTTATCTGCTGGAAGAATGATCTTTCAGCTTCACCAAGAGTCAGTTCAAAGGCATCCAACTTTGCGTCGGTATCCAGAAGGTCAGACTGACGTCCTCCGGTACCGATCTGCGCATGACAGCGGAGAGACGGCAAGTTCCGGAAGGCCTTGAAATCATTCAGAGTACTTATTGCTGCGCCTTGTTGACCCATTTGTGTGTACACCTGGCATGCTGGAATGTGATATGATATTCATAAACATACATAAGGGTCGAATTGTTGTATATAAAACACACGATGATAACAACAATAGCCTGCTGAATTAGAAACTAGTAAAGTTCGAAACTTCCTTCATTTCTATTTAAGGGTCGAATTATTGCATATAAAACACACGATTATAACAACAATAGCCTGCGATAACAACAATCGAAAGCTTACTGAAGGGTAGAAACTAGTAATAGTAACACACGGCGAAACCTCCTGTGAATTGTAAAGTTCGAAACCTCCTGTGTGTGTGAGTGAGTGAGTATGCAATTTTCCAACAATATCACGGCTGGGAACACCGGAAATGTGTTTCACACATTGTACCCACGTGGGAATCGAACATGGGTCGGCGTGACGAGCGAACGCTGTAACCATTAGGCTACCCTCCTGCTGAAAGGATGAGATATGATTATGGTGTTTATGTCAACGAAGTCCAATTAAATGATTGCATAGATAAGACATCGTCAACGATAAAAATTGTTAATATATGTGTGCTATGTATAAAGCTTATTTTTAACATAAACACAACTCCCTTTGAAGAAGTGCTGGAATGGTTTCTTGACTTTATTTATTTTCAAGATATTTTATCGAATTGTGTACGGAATTTGTACGAGTTGTGTTGTGTGTGAGAAATGCATCTTGGATCGGGGATATACTCATAGTCATGGTTCTCCATTGGAGAAGACAGCCGTATCTATTTTGTAAGCCAGGGCCGTGTGACATTGTATTGCATTAAAATATGTGTATCTACTCTGTCATGTTATATGATTTATGAGAAGTAAATCTTGGACCTCTTAATCCACCGGGATTGTAACAACTGGAGCCATACAACAGTGTTTCGAATGGACGAACGGTTATTATCAGTGTGTGTGGGGGGGGGGGGGGGTGTAATAAAAATTGGAGTTACCTCCCTTAGTATGTCGTTTTACAGCTTTCCCAAACATGGTGTAAATGTAATACACATTAACTTGGAAGTCGTGATACGCAAAGTCATATATTAACCTCTAACTATCGGTGCTGGGCCCCATCCATAAAGCATTCGTAACATTACGACATATCGTTAACGTAACTCTATAGTTTACCGTCGGCTCACGAATGTCGTAGCGCTACGAAACTTTGTGGATCGAGACCCTGACTCTGTCCAGACATGTGACCGCTTCTCAACCAATCAATAAAGTCTTTAATATCTTCATGTATAAATGCATCAGATATAATCAAAATGTTTTCTACTATGATAATCAGTGGGGCAGCGGGTTATTGATATGAAATTGTATTGATTCTTTTACCGTAACAGAGAAATGGCAATAGGCCGACTTATTCGTTTGCAGTGTTGGCAGTTTTTGACACAACCCTTCAGAGGCACATAGAACCTGAACACAAGGCGTACTGATCAAGCCGTGATATGTGGTTGTATGTTTCACCATCGAGTAAACTTTGTTGTGACAGGGCTGTAGTGACACGGCGTAGAGCCACTCCGTAATGGTCATTCAAACACAGGAAGAGTCGATTTGAGGACATCACGAACCTAGGGGCCAAGTTATTGTCATTCTTAGGTTGTTTGTTGTGTTTTCTCCCTGTAATTGCTTCCTTGTGGCAGCTGTGGTTTGTCCGTTTGTTGTTGCATTGTCTTGTTTGCTCTGTTGTTGTTTTGTGGGGCTTGTGTTTGTTGGGGTCTTTTCGGGGTACTTTTTGTACAATTTGGGATGTAGGGAATGGGTATTTTTACCTCGTTTGTGCTGTTCACGCGTTTGGGGTGTTTATGAATTTTTACTGAAGCCATATATCATTAGAACATTAAAATTTATCAGTCCAATTACTATTTCTCATTGCGCCTGTCAGCTCAGTGATGCTCTTGACATCACGCCGCTGGATGTACAATCAATCTGACATTTGGCTTCCACCGTTACCAACATAGGGCACTACAAATTAATTGTGTTTTTTGATCGGGATGGCATATTTTAGTAAACGTTTAGGTTTGTCTGTTTGTGTTCAAAGCCACACTCAGCAATCTTCCAGCTATAAGGAGAAGGTCTGTTATTAATCGAGTCTGGACCAAACAATCCAGTGATTAACATGAGCATACAATGACATGTGTCAACCAAGTCTGCAAGCCTCATCACCCGATCCCGTTAGTCGCCTCTTACGACAAACATGGGCTGCTAGAGATCAATTCTAACCCGGATCTGCACGGGGGAGACGGGGGTCAATTGTAACACTTTTTACGTAAGTTCATGTAATTCGATATTAGTCGACCGCTCACAAAGTTTATCGGCACTAACTAATACATTGGCATCTTGGCTTTAAACCTCGGAGTCATTTAAAGATCACGATCATGTCGTTACAAAGTTATTACGTATTAAATGCAATGACTGCAAGTGTTACAATTGATCTCGAGCACGGGGCAATTGTAACAGGTGGATGGGGCAATTGTAACAAAGAAGGTTCGAATGTAAGAATATGTTTATTTTCCAAATATAATCAAAATGAAATGTGGAAAGATGTTACCTTGATCAATTGAGGTGGAAATGGATTAACATTAAACCTTTTTCACCATCGACATTTAAAATGTTTTTAGTTTAAATTTCTTGTTTTCGTATGCACAAAATATAACACAAAGACTAACACCAAAAACTTTCACCCGAGGGCTGATACTATCAACATAAGACTGAAAATGTTCTACTATGATGAAACTAGTAAAGAACTAACATAAAACCGACATCATAATTTGCTTCATTATCATAACATAAGGGCAAATTACATGGGGGGCAGTTGTAACACAGTGTTACAATTGCCCCCGATGCTAGTAGCCATGTTTCATGTCACGTCACATGTTAACAACTTTGGGCTTCTCAAACATTTCTACTTAAAAAAAAGTCGTAATACCACAATTTTACACTTGAAACGTTAATTTCATACCAAGCAACATTTCCTGCATTAAGAACGTTTTATCACGTTTTGTGAAAAAATTTACTTTCTTATGTAAAAAAGGATTTTTCATCTATTGTATCTCGCCATGAGCGAGGAGCTGAAAAATGCCCGGATGTGTACCGCAGGAAAGCAAAGGGAAATAACTCTACTCACCTACATTATGCTTGAGCGAAAACTTTAGAGTAATCGCCCTTGTTACAATTGCCCCGTGTTACAATTGCCCCGGTCTCCCCAACAGTACGATAACTAGATCAGCCAAACAACTTTTGCAATAATTCATTATTAAAAGTGTCGATATCTTATCACTTCCACGTCGAAAGGTTTTTAATGGCCGCTGGTGGTGATTCACCTCACAAAACAATCCTTGTCTGCACAAATTGTGCATCACACATGCGTGAACACAACTGTCGGTTTAATGGATATCTTTATGTGAGGTCCAGTTTGGTTGATTAATATGGACCAGGTTGTTTTGTAGCTCAATATACAATTCAGGCTAGACTCCCACCAACCATCACCTTTGTTACGCGAGTAAACATGGATGTGTGATTTTAGTGCATATGTTGGTAATGTGACAGATCAGATGGTATTGTGACAGATCAGATGGTAAAGTGACAGATCAGATGTTAATGTGACAGATCAGATGGTAAAGTGACAGATCAGATGTTAATGTGACAGATCAGATGGTATTGTGACAGATCAGATGGTAATATTAATGTGACAGATCAGATCAGATGGTAATGTGACAGATCGGATCAGAATGGTATTATCTCAGATCAGATGGTAAAGTGACAGATCAGATGGTTTTGTGCTTCATAATGAGGTTCAGGCTGTATACTTCCCGGGAAGATTAGAATGGGAACTTATAATTGCCAAGAAATATTTTCAATTCCCAACCAGGCACAAATGTTTTAATGGCTTCATGTAACCCCAAGCATTAAGCAGCTATCAACATTACCTATTAAAGCTACGCAAATCACTTCTGTAACACATGCATTATATGAACTGTGTATTATGGGTCTGTGGCCTACATACTTCAAGTGAATACAAACTTCTATACATTAAATGAGAACCGAGTTCACCGAGTTCCGTTGACCGGGTACTAATGCAGCGTTTAATCATGTTTTAAGGTGTGCATCCAGCCATTGTGATTACTTTATGCACACTATCGTTACTATCATCAGAGGGATTTCATACTGTGTTAAAATGTAGGACACACATATTCTAGGTCTTGTTGATTTGTGATATCACGTCGGGAATTTTATAAAGAAATATTCAGAAATAGTGCAGTGAAATCGTTAAATTATCGTTGAAGACAATGACACCTCAAGAAAATAAAAACCCTTGCGGTCAAGTTTTACAATCTAGCAAATACCGTCAACCTGGATAACAGAAGGTCGGTGGTTCGATCTCCTTCTGTATCAGTAAAACGGCGTTATATTGTGGAACTTGTTGTTTCCCTGTCTTGCGCTCGGCGTTAAGGGGGTTAATGAAGGACTGTCGGCGCGTAGTCCGTATAATGTGCCAGATTGGGGTTCCACGCTAACCCGGATGGTCATAATGGACTAACGCTATAAAACCGGCACTAATCCGTACAAGCTGACACACACAGACACAGGCAGACAGACAGACAGACACAAACATGACATTAACACGCACGTGCATGTACAAACACCAATTCACGTCTCTATTTAAGTGCAACAATCTTGAAAAGGGAGCCTTTGTACAAAGCAGCCTTAGCGTTACGTCAGTCGTAAGTCTGTTATGATATGGGAGTTACGATCACCTTAGCGCTACGATCGCGTTGTACAACGGCATCCAGGACGTTGAACCCCATTTTACCCCTATTCACTTGTAGCAATGCACAGTCACTTATTCCGTCAAATTTCTCCGACACACATTGGTGCTTGTTGATCGGAATAGTTGTACCTAGAAACAGTAGTATATCCTCATTTCAATGAACTCTCACTGACGATCGATTTGGTAAACGTCATGGCCGTAATCGACCCGTGCTATGGCTGAACGAAATAAACACACCACTGGCTACTGGAATCATTAACATGAAGACGGTGGAATTAACGGACATACCTTGCACCAGAGTCGCAAACAGCAGCACCAACCTTCTGGTCGCCATCGCTCTGCCTTGTGACTTAAACGTGTATTCACTGAGACAGGGTATGGCTGAAATGCTTTCGATTGTCACACGGCAGTTGTACGCTTACCGCTGGTGGGGCCCGCACCGATGTTTTATAAGTGTTATACAAAGGACCCGGACGCAATGGCCCAAGGCCGTGTTTCGCAATATACGTGTATATCCCATCAGCAGGGTTACTAAACGACACTTGATTGATTCGCAGTGCCACACACGTATTCTACTGTACAGAAAGGGTGAGTGGGTGAGTGGGTGAGTTTAGTTTTACGCCGCACTCAGCAATATCCCAGCTATATGGCGGTGGTCTGTAAATAATCGAGTCCGGACCAGACAATCCAGTGATCAACAGCATGAACATCGATCTGCGCAATTGGGAACCGATGACATGTGTCAACCAAGTCAGCGAAACTGACCACCCGATCCCGTTAGTCGCCTCTTACGACAAGCATAGTCGCCTTTTATGGCAAGCACATGGGTTGCTAAAGACCTATTCTACCCCGGATCTTCACGGGTCGTACAGAAAGGGTGTCGCCAGTGTCAACAAGTGTCTTGTACAGTCGGGGTAAATACTGTGTAGTGGTACCAGATATGTGAGTGTTCTTCAACCGACATCAGTTAACAAACTTTCATTAAACGGTATACGAATCCACCTCGATATACCGCAATCATATTCGCCCAAACCAATAATTTATCACAGATTGTTCAATGGTAAAGGAGTCGAAAAGCCGTACGTATCCTTCGTAGGTAAGTGTGTATCTAATTCTTGGTGCCCACGACCCGTGAAGATCCGGGATAGAATTGATCTTCAGCAACCCATGCTTGTCGTAAAAGGCGACTAACGGGATCGGGTGGTCAGGCTCGCTGACTTGGTTGAAACATCTCATCGGTTCCCAATTGTGTAGATCGATGCTCATGCCGTTGATTACTTGATTGTCTGGTCCAAACTCGATTATTTACAGACCGCCGCCATATAGCTTGAATATTGCTGAGTGCGGCCTAAAACTAGACTCACTCACTCACTTGGTGCCCACGGTTATATTCTTTATCTCAAATTGCATCATTTTTCCTTTTGCCAAACCTTTTCTGCAATGTTTAAGTGTAAATGAAGCAAGTCTAACTTTCCTCAGGTTCTGAATCTCCCTTCTCACTATTCAGTTTAATTTGAATCGTTTATTTCTATCTCAATTATATATATACTGGACAAAAATAGTTAGGGATATATGTAAATTGTGAAATTATGAATAATTATCTTTTTCATTCATTGACACGCTGATAAAATATCAATCATAAAAATACCAATATCCCTAACTTATTTTATCCAGTATATTTGGGGAACGAGTGTGAGTCAAACAGTGATATTGTTGTGGGACAATTAGTGACAATCGAGAGGACACTGCCCCTGTGATCTGTTACTTAAAGAATTTCTCGACTTAATCTCAATATGTATTTCACGACGTAGCTGCTCTGGATTACCCTTGCAACATTACCCTTGCAACAGTATGCATGATCGTTTTAAGGGTAAACGGTGGAGAGGTTATCAGCTCCTGCTGTCACAAGAATGATCCATGGAAGCCAAGTCAGATCAGATGGTAATGTGACAGTTAACCGTCTTGTGCTTCATAATGAGACTTAGATTGTACACTCCCCGGGAAGCTGAGAATGAGAACCGAGTACACAAAGTTCTTTAGACCGGAAAGCCCTGCGTTATGGTGTGCATTTAGTAGGGCTGCGCAATATAACCGGTTTACCGGTATTTACCGGTTCAGACATACGTATTGCGATACGCTGATCGAAAACCGGTATTTTGACTTGCAATCGGAAAACTTCGTAACACCCGGAAATCTTCGGGTATTTCCTTTTTTCATTTGTGCCAGATATTATTCACATTTTTATTTTATCATGATTAAAAGTTTTTATTAAAGCTTAATCAAGCATGGTAATTTGGTTGTGTTTTTGCTCTATAAATCAAGCATGAACTCGATTATAAGTATTTTTTTGGTTTAAAATACGTCATGCAATATATTGCAATACATACCGCAATACATGCTTTCGCATCCCAATATATCGCAATATGAATATTCCCTGCAATACCCACCCCTAGCATTTAGCCCATTGTGCTTATGCACTCTATCATTTTTATCATCAGGGGGATTTCATACTGTGTGGAACAGCAGGACACACAGATTCTGGGGCTTATTAATTTGTGATATCATGCGGGGAAGTTTATGAAAAGAATATCCAGGAAAAATATACTGAAAGTGCAACAATCTTGAACACTGTGCCACTGCACAAATCATCATAGACTTACGACAGTGGTAGCGCTACGATAGCTTTGTGAAACGGGTCCATGAGGTTAAACTCCATTTTATCCCTATTCACCTGCAGCAATGCACACTTATTCCGTCAAATTTCACAGACACAGGCAGACAGACAGACACACACACACACGCACATTAACACGCACGTGCATGTACAAACACCAATTCACGTCTCTATTTAAGTGCAACAATCTTGAAAAGGGAGCCTTTGTACAAAGCAACCTTAGCGCTACGTCAGTCGTAAGTCTGTTATGATATGGGAGTTACGATCACCTTGGCGCTACGATCGCTTTGTACAACGGCATCCAGGACGTTGAACCCCATTTTACCCCTATTCACCTGTAGCAATGCACAGTCACTTATTCCGTCAAATTTCTCCGACACACATTGGTGCTTGTTGATCGGAATAGTTGTACCTAGAAACAGTAGTACATCCTCATTTCAATGAACTCTCACTGACGATCGATTTGGTAAACTTCATGGCCGTAATCGACCTGTGCTATGGCTGAACGAAATAAACACACCACTGACTACTGGAATCATTAACATGAAGACGGTGGAATTAACGGACATACCTTGCACCAGAGTCGCAAACAGCAGCACCAACCTTCTGGTCGCCATCGCTCCTGAATAAATTATTGTGACTTGAACGTGTATTCACTGAGACAGGGTATGGCTGAGATGGTTTCGATCGTCACAGGGCAGTTGTACGCTTACCGCGGGTGGGGCCCGCAACGACGTTTTATAAGTGTTATACAAAGGACCCGGCCGGACACAGTGGTTGTGGACATCATGCGTGGTAAGGGGTAATGGCTGTGGCCAGTTTCCACTCAGTAGAAAAATATTCAATTCATAACGGAATATTAAGCTGTATTTAAGCGGATTAATACACAAAAACGTTTGACGTCCACTGACGCTGTGTTGCGATGGTTTATTGTATGGTAGATTAACCTGAACAACTCGGATAGCCCTAGTCATAATGAGGTGGGTGGACTCACAGCTCTTATAGTGACGCAGATACAGTTCAGATCGTAAACAGTATTGCGAAACACACGTGCACGTCAACAAACCAACAAGTCAGGCGAATCTACGATGATCTACGTATATTGGAACGCCTTGGGTCGGCAGGTGAAGTACGGCGTACGGCGTGAATGGGTCACTACAGCTCCCAATAATAATTACACGTCTTTACTTGACGATTGGAAAGATACATAGCATTTAAACAACTGTGATCCTGCAAAATACGCAATTACTTTGCACAATCGGGAAAATATTGAGTTGTTGTACCTTAATAACTTTGGCTATGATTTAGTCTACACAGAACAGTGACCTGCAAATAAATGTACATACACATAAAAAAATGCATTTAAAGATATTAATGCACATATAAATAATTGAAATGTTATTTGGTAGGGGAGGCGGTGGGGATCCTTACTAATACCATTTTATGTCATTGTGTGACCTGACAAAATTAAAGTTGACATAACCATGATTACTTTAGAGATTTTTTCTATTTATAACTTACTTGTTTGGCTTAATTAACCATTGCCATATCAGTTAATGTTCACCTTTTTAACACTTGGGGACCCGTGAAGGTCCGGGTTAGAATGAACCTTCAGCAACCCATGCTTGACTAACTGGGTCGGGTGGTCAGGCTCGCTAGCTTGGTTGACACATGTCATCGGCTCATGCTGTTGATCACTGGATTGTCTGGTCCAGACTCGATTATTTACAGACCGCTGCCTTATAGCTGGAATATTGCTGAGTGCGGCGTAAAACTAAACTCACTCACTTGGGTGTGTGAGTTTAGTCTGCTAGAGGACGGGACGTACATCCAAACGTGTTTTAGTATCAACTGTGGTACCTATCTCACGGCGCATATAAGTTCAGAGACGTGTGTAGTGACAACCTACGCATTGATGGCTGGCTTAATTAATGATGCAGGTGGCATCGTGGAAAACAACCATTTCACAGAATTAAAATATATTATTGTATATACTAGGCTTGGCAATAATTCATAACTTAAGTCTGTGGCTTAAATGTGTTAATCCCTCCGAATGAACTGCTGCTGTCTGTAAATGTAATTGCAAGAGAACATTGACTAATGCATTTTCGTAGTACACATGTACTGACAACAGGGGCAACTGCACTAACGTGTTTACAGTGCTTAAAGTGATTACTTAACTACAGTTCTTACACATGGATTATAAACACGTAAGTATGTTATTAAGTAAGGTAGGTCAGATGTGATGGTTGTTAACCATCGTTTCGTAACCGTTCTCATTTAGATATTATATACTCATGCCAATAATGGTTGTCACCCCCATCCCCACCCAAACCCCCAACACACCTCACCCCATACCCCCTCTCCAATTAAAAAAATTGAAGGGGGTGACAACCATTATTGGCATGAGTATATTTGACGATTATGCCAAGGGGTCTATAACGCTCAGTGACTGTGCTTGAAACCGGGCGAAATTCCCACACTGTTGTGTTTTTAACAGAAATGGAGACATTATTTCAGCAGGATGTATGAACAAAACATCGCAACGACAGTGATGAGTGGGTTTGTGAGTGAGTGAGTTAATTATTACGCCACACTCAACAATTTCCCAGCTATATGGTGGTGGTCTGTAAATAATTGAGTCTGGACCAGACAATCCAGTGATCAACAGTATGAGCATCGATCAAGCGCAATTGGGATACATGTGTCATGTGTCAACCAAGTAAGCGAGTCCGACCACCCGATCCCGTAAGTAGCCCCTCACGACAAGCATGGGTTACCCCGTTACTTCACGGGTCTCTGAGGGTTGAAGGCTAATAATACTGTATCATCAGTATAAAGAAGCGCGAATGATACAATGGACATAAATAACAGTCCGGCGAGTGTCTTAAACTTATTAGAAAGACTAGGACAATTTTCAGAAAGAAATGTGCAAAAACGGTTCCAAATCATCGGTTGCCGGACACCAATTAAGCAGGGAATCTGTTCGGAATAGACACCATTTAAACACACACGTGAAAAAGTATCTTCGAGTTTACCATGATCATCGAGTCGAGTCGACTAACGGGATTGGGTGGTCAGGCTCGCTGACTTGGTTGACACATGTCATCGGTTCCCACTTTTTCTTAGTGCTCTCCTTCCTCTCTCAAACTCTGCGGCGTCCCTTTAAATAATGGCAAAGGTAGGAGCATCATCCCCTGAAGGAGACTCTGTCACCCTGCAATTGTCCATTTGCATCAACAGAGTATACCTGAAGGGGGCGGTGGGGTAGCCCAGTGGTTGAAGCGTTCGCTCATCACACAAAAGGCAGGTTCGATTTCCCACATGGGTACAATGTGTAAAGCCCTTTTCTGGTGCCCCCAGCCGTGATATTGCTAGAATATTGCTAAAAGCGGCGTAAACCCATATTCACTCACTCGATGCCTGAAAAGAATATGAGTGTTATGAATGTGGTTCAAATGGAGGGGAAGCATTGTAAAGCAATTGAAACTGCTAAGAGCGTACTGGACCTCCAGACATGATTAGAACGTCTCATATACCACTCCTGTGACCGAACGAGCACAAACACGATTAGCTGAGGACTAATAGTAACAATAGGATTAACAAGGGATCATCTCTACTTTCACAACGATATACCGGCAGAACCAGAATCTGAAACCACAAGATTAGGTCTCCAGCCCGCCTAAGGGACTCTCACAATGATGCGTGACGCCCCAGCTGATTGTGCGACCAGTAATCCTTAAGGAGTGAGCGAGTTCAGTTTTACGTCACTATATGGTGGCGGTCTGTAAATAAATGAGTCTGGACCAGACAATCCAGTGATCAACAGCATGAGCATCGATCTACGTAACTGGGGTACGATGACATGTGTCAACCAAGTCAGCGATCCTGACCACCCGATCTGTTAGTCGCCTCTTACGAAAAGCATGGTCTGCCGAAAACCAATTCTAACCCGGATCTCCGTGGGTTTCCAGGAGATATCAAAGGAACCTTGCACAAGACTGTCTAGAGTAGGATATCTATTAATATCTTGTTAAATACTTAACGTCTTGAATTTTGAATCTCTTAGGAGGCACTATAAAATCGCTCATGTGTGGCGCAGGCTCGAATTTTAAATAAATATATTCCATAGTTCTACCAGCATCATACCCTTGCTCGTGATTTTCACCAAGGTGGAACACGTCCTAAGCCGAGCATTCTGGCTCGATTCTGTTCCGAATTCCCACTTACACGATTTTGTTATGTTCCTCTGTGTGAGGAGTGATTGACAACTGCCAGAAAACGCCGAAAAAACGATTCAGTCACTCGATTTGAAATATATGTCAGGGTAGAGACTGCGATCTGGTAGAATCGGAGATTCTACCAGTAGAGATTGCGATCGGAGTCTCTACCAGTAGAGACTGCGATCGGAGTCTCTACTGGTAGAATCTCCGATCCTACTAGTAGAGATTGGGATCGTAGTCTCTACTGGTAGAGACTACGATTATATGGAATAACCTATGCGATCGGAGTCTCTACTGGTAGAATCTCCGATCCTACTAGTAGAGATTGCGATCGTAGTCTCTACTGGTAGAGACTACGATTATATGGAATAACCTATGCAAGCAAGTGCAAGCTTATGCAAGCAAGTATAATAAGTGGGGATAATATTTTCCTATTATTTGCCTGTTATAATTGAACTTATTTATTATCTTGTTAACTTTATTTGTTAAGTCTGTTTTGGAGTAAGGTATTATTTATGAGCATTCACATATGTATGGTATTACTAATTTGGAAAAAAAAAAATTGTTTTGGGGATTAAATGACTAAATGTGAGTTATGTCTCTGAAAAATTGGGCGTGTCAAAAGGGCTACGAGAACATTTTTTAGCCGTGCCATTTCAATAATGACCGTGCCATGGCACACTAATATATGGGGTATTTCGAACCCTGATAACAGTTGATCTCTTGATGAAAGAAGTTGACTCCCCAAAACATGTCCATGACTCCCTCTCATGATGACTTCTAAATTTTTATGCCTAGGGCAAACACTGATTATGCAATTGATCTTGCTTGTAATCAGTTTTGTAATATATGTATATTGTAATATGATCTCTCAAGTCACATTTGTATTTTTAGTCCTTAATATATCTGTAGAAGTGGAAACAGTCTAGTGTTATATCTGAATAAAATGCATAGTACTGTTCAGAAAAAGTGTCTTTGTTGTTTACCCACAGATCACTCAGAGTTTCTACCAGTTGAAGACGATTGCAGCCTCTACTAGTAGGATCGGAGTTTCTACCAGTTGAATTGGAAAATGTACTGGTAGAATCTCCGATTCAACCAGTAGAGACTACGATTGCAATCTCTACTAGTAGGATCGGAGATTCTACCAGTAGAGACTCCGATCGCAGTCTCTACTGGTAGAGACTCCGATCGCAATCTCAACTTGTAGAATCTCCGATTCTACCAGATCGCAGTCTCTACCCTGACATATACAACAACCAGTACCAAAAGAAGTGTCGTTGTTGGTCGACAATAGTGAGTAACACAATGTTCACCTAATGGCGCAGTGTGTATCTGAATACAAGGCGGTACATCATGAGTGAGTGAGTATGGTTTTACGTCGCTTTTAGCAATATTCCAGCAATACCACTGCGGGGGATACCAGAAATGGGCTTCACGCATTGGATCCTTGTGGG